ACTGGCCATTTGCCTCATACTTCCCGCCGCCTTCCTTGGAACCGCATGAAGCAGCAGAGCGCGCCATGGACAGTTAGATCGTTGTGGAGTCTTTGATAATCCCCTAGCCAAAGGACGCCTCATACGGCTCTGACTCACACCATTGTCTTGCGCACCCCGACTTTGCTTTCAAACGCAAAATTGGTCTACTGAGTACGTGCAACCTTGTGGCCACAAGTAATGATATTCGGAATAGTGTGCCGACTCTATACCTGCCAAAGGATTTCAGTGGAGTAAAGCCCGCGGCGCTGGCTGCAGATCCGGAACGCTAGATGTTTTGACGGATATTAAAAAGGTATAATAATCAAGTTGTTTTAAAGCAAGCTAGTTATAAAAAAAGCTTAATTATCTTAATAAATAATTTTATTAATATTTAAATTATTTTACTTTATAATTAAATAAAATTATAAGTATAATATAAGTATTATATAAGCGTAAAATCTAAAAGAATATTAGGTTATATTAATATTTGGTTGATTCGCTCTGTAGTCAAATAAAATTACACACATAATACTAGTATCGTGCAAGCGTAAAATCTAAAATAATATTAGGCTGTACCAGGCCAAGAACAGTAAGAGACTAGAAAAGTAAACCATCTACGCATCGTGACACGTTAAACGTACCAGCGCAATTAGTGCCGCGCTGTGGCCCGCTAGTCACGGCTACCTCGCGATAGCCTCAGCTACCGTCATGTAGTCAAACCTTGTATGTTGTCGTGACTTCGCGGCCGTGACTCACGCCGAGTCACGCCGAAAACCTATATTAGGTTATATTAGGCTAAGAATAGTAAGAGACTAGAAAATCAGACTGTCTACGCATCGTGACGTGTCAGACGTACCAGCGGAATTGGTGCCGCGCTGTGGAACCAAAGCGCAGCACCAAGGAAGCTGTTACACTGGCCACAAAAGGGGCCAACGGGGCCAACGAGACCAACAAGACGAAAAAAAGGCCAACAAGACGAAAAAGGCCAGCAAGACCAAAAAGGCCAACGAGACCAGACCAAAAAGGCCAACAAAGCCAAGGCTGCCAAGTAGATCTGTATTGGCGGTATTACCTCGTCTGGACTCTGAATTATTATGGAGCTACCATCAATCGGCCAACAAGCAGTCGACGTGTCGCCCTCGTCTTCAGACCCCAGTGCCTGCTTGTCCCCTAGCGCAAGCGAAGTTGCACCGGGCATCGACGATTGGATCGGTTGACAGGCCGCCCCATCCATGCAATTCAAGGTCAGGGCTGTGGTTAATAGAGCACTTGAGGCATATACGGGGTACGGCCTAGAATTAAACTCATCTTGAACCTGATTCCGTCAAGTGCTTCTTTATGCGCTGGCAGTCCCGCGGCCCATCGCTCATTGCCTGCAAAACGAGCCGCGAGCAACCTTGGATCTGCCGATGGCAGGACTTGGGGGGCCGAGATTTCAGCCGCTGGGGCACCCTCACAGAGTCACAGAACTGATGGTGGCTTGAAGCTTCAGTATTAGAGCGCATGTGACCACATTGAATCGGTGGTGTCGACAGCTGCGCTCAGCGCCCTAGTGCCGTTCGAGCACTGGCTTTGCGATGCTGAGCTCGCCATCTGAAACCACAGAGATGATGTCTGGTCAATTCATCCCACAGAGCCGAACTCGTCTGGGCGCACAAGCAGTCGCCTAGCGCTGCCATTTTCGCACGGCACAAGCAAGTCGATCCGGTCACGTCATCTTGGCCTATCTCGTGGCATTGCATGCACTCACAACGCTGGGGCATCAGGTGGTGGCACGATTCAGTCGATTATGTAGCTACAGGTGGCATGAAGCAGTGGATGAGCCCTTGGTGCAGCCACTAGTACTGGAGCTGTCTTGTGATAGTTGTGCTGTCACCAGAACCAGGGCACGCGCGCGGGGCGCTCAGTGCTGTGTGTTGCTGTATTGACCTCCAAGTTTCCTTGAAACAGCTAGTGTTTTGGGGCTACAGCCACCCCCGGGGCGTTCATCTGGTCGAGTTCACACCGCATCTTGGTTTGAAGCTATTCGTAGCTATCTAGATAAGCTGATCTCATCAATATAGGCGGCGCATACCTACGGCTTTGCCTATTCAATACAATATAATACATATATATTATATATACTATATATATAAGACTATTCCCAGGCATTTGATTAATCAAAGGTAAAATACCCTTTAGTCACTACGAAATAAAGATATCAATTTATGCTACTTACGTGTCTGGTACTATTATAAACCTGCGAAATCCGCCTTTGTCGTCAAGTGTTCCTCGTCAATGTTGACGCCGGGTCCCTGAAGGACTCACGAGGAAGACCAATTGGCTCACAAGTATGCAGGCTTAGTTGCCTCCGCTGTGCCTACACCTAGGTCAGCTTTCCGTCGGCATCGGGGTCTGATTCCTCAGACGAATCGCATCGCTCGTCATTCCCTCAGCGCAGTTGGCACCTCAAAAATATAACGGGTACTCGACTCTTATCGGTAAGCTCCCCTTGTGGCGCTAGTGCTTTCTCCTTTGCCAATTATTACTCCAAACTAGTATTTGAATTATTTTTACTATTATACAACCTGCTATAGAGCAGGGGAACTCGTAGCATCAATTGATATGACTCTCAGGAGTCAGGAGCCACGTCAAGAGTGCCGAAAACGGACACCAAAGGGGATGACAAATCGGTACTCCCGGGCTGAGATTCGACGATTTAGCCCAACCGGCTGCACATGGGATCGTCCATGGTTCGAGCGTTCGGATAGCTGCCTGCTAGTCATGGGTATTTTGGCCGGAGTAGCGTGGAGACGTGATGACCCCGGAGAGGATCCTTGCTCCCACACGGTTACACAGGGCTACAATCACGGGGCCTAGGGCAGAAGACCCTCACCGACTTCTTGTATGTAAAGAGCTTTTTTGTCAACTAGGCCTTGAGAAAAACCAAGGAGTTATTAGATAAATTGAGTCATGATACTTCAAGCCTTGAGCCCTTGTCACGCTTGCTTCCGATTTGCTCCGAGTGTGTCTCATTTCTAGAACTAGAGTCGCCCCTTGAATGTTTCTTTATACCTGACCTGACAGGGGAAAGAGTAGTGGGACGTTGTTATAAAATTCGTAAAAAATCTCAAGTACTTATCAAAGTTATTTTCCTTTCAAAATCTTGATTTTTTACTTAATTATGAAGCCCCTTACCAGGCCACGCATAAAGAAACATGGGAGGGGGGGGGGGGTTGTACGTCCAAACCCCTCGGCACCCCGAACCTTGTTTGACACCAGGCTGAAGCTTGAAAAACCGGTTTTCTCTTCTCTTGGCGGCCTGGCAATATCAGCCACGAATATTATTAGGCAAAACAGCGCTTCGCTTGAGTTCTTGCGTTATCGCAGGAAGTCGGGTCAAAGCTAGGGAGCGTAGTTTCCCACTTTGCTATATTAACTACTCCGTAGTCGGATGACAACATAAGCCCTTGTCATAAGTGGAAGCAAAGCGGCAAGCTGGGGAGGTCAAAATTTGAGGCTTTTGAAGCTGCTATTAGATTCAAGGCTTTTGAGGTTGTTGAATTTGAAGCTCGTTGAAGCTGCTGCTGGATTCGAGGCTTTTGAAGCTGCTAAATCCGAGCCTGTTGAAGCTTTTTTTTATTTATTTTTTTAATTTTCCCCTCCAATGGCCCTGCCGGGGCCGTCTGCAGCGGGCTTGTCGCCTGCGCCGGACCTTTTGCCTGCGGCGCTTTTGAAGCTGTTGAAGCTGCTAGGTGGGATTGGAATGTGCTAGGTGACCTTAGAAGGTGCCTACAATATCAAAAGGCAGGCTCACGATAATCTGTAGAGCTACATACCGGCCTTTAAATTTAAGCTAATTATAGTAATTTTGAGTTATCTAGACTAATAATTGGTCAAGTTTAAACTATACAAGACTTATAATTGTGGTAGCGCAGTAACCTGGGACTCTATTAAATGCTGTGACAAGGGCTCGATTAGAGGGCTTGGAACGTAAAGTTTCAATTCAATAATAATCTCGTAGGATGTCAAAGGTCCTGAGTTGCAGAGAGGAAAGAAGAGAAAAGTAACTACTATTTATATATAAAAGGAACGCCTAGGCCTAAAGGTCTTACCCGGGCACGTGTTCAAGCCGTGTAACCAATAAGTCCCGTATCGGTAAAGCCCCTTTGCTGGACTTCATGATCTGTTGGGCCTTTTCCGTGTAACATAGGCTCCCGGCAGGGCCCCCGGAGGAGGAAATTAAAAGAAGCTCTAGGAAATATTGCTCGCAGCCCCTTAACGAGCCCGAATTCAATAGTAGCTTCGAAAGCCTCGAATCCAGCAACCCCAACAGCTTCAAAAGAATCAAAACCCTCAAATTTTGACCCCTCACCGGCTTGCCGCTTTGCTTACACTTGTGGCAAGGGCTCCCGTTGTCATCAAACTAGTATATAATGGGAGCGTCCCCCAGGCTCTAATTGGATAACTAGAAAATACTTCTTTGGCAACTGGTTAGTGAGAAGAGTAAGGTTTACGCCACTCACGTGTAGCATCGTGAACCTCATAATTTAGTGTTGTTGATGTCCAAGCTGGCTGCCTTCAGCTTCAACACCTTCAACACCTTCAACAAGCCCGAATTCAGCAGCAGTAATAAAGGCCGGAATAATATTCTTCCCTGGCTACCACCGCTTTGCCTACGATTAGGACAAACTTGATCGTTGGCATCACCGTCTTGTCTATCGTACTATATGCATGTTTGCGCTATGTTAATTGAGAATCTTATATGTATAACAATCCATACTAAGCCATTTGTGCCGAACTCAGGCTCCTTCCCGCACATGGTAAAGTTCGGTGGGATATAGCTTCGTGGATGAACCATCACGAACAAACGGAGTCGCTCGCACAACAACTTTACATGATGTCAATACATACATGGTTCAGAAATAACACTTTTTCTCACAATAGCTGTACACGATCCGGGGAAATGGTCCATGCTTGTAGTCAGTTGCACCAACTACTCAGTAGTCATAAAAGCCCTTGCCGCTCTTCTTGCCCAGCCAGCCTGCATCTACCATCTTGCCCAAAAGAACACTAGGACGATATTTTGAATCGCCCGTCTCGTTATACAACACCCTCATGATGGCCAGGCAGGTATCAAGTCCGATAAAGTCGGCAAGTTGGAGAGGCCCCATGGGAACGTTGGTTCCGTTCTTCATAATGGCGTCAATCGACTCGCGGTCTCCGACACCCGTCTCGAGACAAATGACAGCCTCATTAATATAAGGCATAAGAATGCGGTTGGCCAGAAAACCGGGTGTGTCGGCAGATATCGAGGTAACCTTGCCGAGTTTCTTGCAAAACTCCACGGCAGTCTCGAGTGTTTCCTTACTCGTCTGCAGGCCACTGATAATCTCGACACCCTTCTGCACGGGCACAGGGTTCATAAAGTGTGTCGAGACGACACGGGATGAAGCCGATGTGTCTGTGGGGTCAGCGGTAGCAGCGGCTGCGATTTTGGTGATGGAGATGGAAGACGTATTTGTCGCAAGGATCGCGTGCTTTGGGCATATCTTTGCGAGGCTGCCAAAGATATCGAACTTGAGCTTGGGAATTTCAGGAACCGCTTCAATAACAAAGTCGACATCAGAGAGATCTTCCATCTTGATGCTTGGCTTCAGCAAGGCGCGGGCCTGGTCAGCCTGTTCCTGAGTGAGCCGGGACTTGGACACATCCTTTGCCAAGAGTTTGTCTGTGCAAGGTCATATCGGTGTCAGCGGGTAATGGTTGCATAAAATTGTGCTTTTAGTGTGTAAGAGGTCTGTGTGTATGGTAATATACCTGCAAATGCGAGTCCCTTGCTCAATGCCGCGTCGGACGTGTCAATCAACCTGACGGGGACCTGAGCTTTCTGAGCAGCAACCAAAGCAATACCCAGACCCTGTAGTCATGCCCATGGATTATCGTCAGTTTCAATTGGAAATGGCCACGCCCAGAGCATTTGCCTGCGCCGATTCATGTTCTTGGGGGCAATTTCCAACCAGGAATTTCACATGATGGGTGGACACTAACCATCTGACCGGCGCCAATAACACCCAGGCTTTTCACTTCTGCGGCACATTGGCGCGTGGTACAGCTGAAGGAGCGCGCTTGGCGCGCTATCCCCAACATTCTCGTTCGTAAAAATGGGGTGGTCATTTTGAATTTCCTTGTGGTGAAGAAAGGGCAATAATATTCCAAAAAAAAAAGGGCGGAGGGGTGATGTCAAGATGGTGGTAGTTCTGGTTCGGGTAACCTCGGCTCTTTGATAAGGTCCCGTTTACGGGCCTTAAAATGGTCGCTGACATAAGCACCGAGCAACAGCTGTCAGCAGCTGTCAGACCCGTCACTTTACACGCTTTCAGCTAGTGACGCGTCGAGACGCGTGCCCGTAGGCCAGAGTCCACTCAATGCACTCATAGTTCGACAGCATCACCCAATGCACTGTATTATTACCTCGTGTCTCTTTTGGTAAAGCAGCTTCGCCCGGGCAAGGTTCATCAGCATGGAGCCGCTGGAGAGTGCGGCGGACGTTGTCCATCCTGAAGTTCGAGCCCATATTAGCAGCCTTGTGTCGGCGGTATGTAAAATGTCCTGTAGCTTGGCCTGATTCAGCGAGGGAATAACCTGACAACTTCATATCTTGCAGCTCGGTGGCACGAGTGCAGAAGACGATGGCAACTATCAGCTCGGTGACGATGCGCTCGAAGTTTTGCGCGATCTAAAGCGCTGGATTCGATTCTACGACGAGAAAACCAACCGAATGGATGTCGCACGGTGTATTTACGAAGCGAACCTCATCGAGGGAGACCTGCTCCCAATTCTAAGGACGTGGCCTGAGAACGCAATGGACAACAAATTTCGGTCAAGAATCGCGCTGGCTTGCTTCGAACTAATGGTTCCATTGACTTGGCCAATAGATTGGGATAAGGAGCGCATGACGGTAAACCATCACAGGCATCTGCCCGTCTTGGAGCTTGCGCAGGTCCAGTACAAGAGGGCAATCATCAACTTTGACGGTGCCCGTATCTTACATGCTGCTGTCAGAGCAGCACTGCCGGCCATGGCGCTTCCCATTGGCGACCGAACAGCAAGGGATCAGGGCGTCATCAAGCTTGTTCTGTTCTTCCTGCGGAACATGGCCTCGATTACGCCGCCTCCCAACGACAAATACGAAGGCGACGAATCCCAAGTCTCTCGGTCGGCTATCATTGATGCCTTCTCCTACCAAGACATTTTCCATGTACTGCTCATGCTCTCATCGAATATGGGCGAGGACTTCCGGACCGAAGACACGACTGTTATGGAAATCATTTACCATCTAGTCAAGCGTGTTGATCCCGAAAAGCTTTTTATGAATGAGCAGCAGCTGAACAAGGCCAAAGCTACCGAGTTATCGGCCTTGATGAGTAAAGAATCAGCCATGCTACAGTCGCATAACCGTAAAGGAGCCACCCGCCACAATCGATTTGGAACCATGATCTGGGTTAAACGAGATGATGGTAAAATGTCATCCTTATCAGGACAAGATGCGCTGGCTGATGCCGCGGTCCGCAACCAGAAAATGGACGAAATCAAGAAGTTCAAGCCTCCACGGCGGGCGCGAAAAGACAACCAAAATGAGAGGGATCTCGGCCCTCCTGTCAAGCTCAACGCTCGTGCCAACGACCAGCTGCGCAAATTTGTTGATGAGTTTCTCGATTCTGGCTTCAATCCGTTATTCCAACACATTCGCAAGACCATTGATCGAGAAGCGCCGCACTTGCTTCAGCATCACCGCCGGCAATTCTTTTACCTGGTTGCTTGGTTTCTGGAAGCAGAGCGGGTTCGTCGAAAGGTCAAAAAGCCCAACAGGAAGGAGTCTGCAGACATTAGCGGCTTTCAATTGGTTGCTGGTGTGCTGAATCAGGAAATGTTCATCACGTTGAGTCGGGCATTACAGGAGAGCTACGACATGAAGGATTGGACAGAATTGACCGCGGTTATGCGATGCTTTACCCAGATTCTGTTAACAGTTCAGGAGATGGCGGAGTCGGCCAACGAGGATGATGAGCAAATTGCAGAAAACGTGTTGAGCCGACTCTTTTACGAAGAGTCGGCACATGATGCTATTGCCAATATCATTAAGACGTATAAGGACCAGGGATTTGACTATCTAGATGCCTCTACAGAACTTGTTCACAACTTTTTACGAATCCTAGAGGCGTATTCGAAGCAGAATGTGGACATGCAAGTCCGTTCAAGGAAGCGGACACGCAGGAAGAAGAAACAGGCGGCAAAGGAAGGCGGCGATGAAGAGGAAGCGGTTTTGGATGATTCAGCCGACGACGAGGAAGCAGCTGAGCGCACATCCAAGGAACGCAAGTTTGATTTTCACAAATATTCGACTCGATTTGCACCTCAAGGCGTCGTCGACACCTTTATCCGGTTCACAAAGTACTACCGAGACTTGACAGACACGCAATTGAAGCGTGCTCATCGGTACTTTTACCGTCTGGCCTTCAAGCAAGATATGAGCGTCATGCTCTTCCGTGTTGACATTATTCATCTGTTGTACAATATGATCAAGGGACCCAATGCGCTGGAAAAATCATCCAGCATGTTCAGGGACTGGGAGGAGCTTGTGAAGCAGATTCTGCGTAAATGTACCAAAAAGATACAAGAACGACCGGAACTGATCATCGAGATGCTCTTCAGCAAGCTTCAGGGCACCGCATTCTTCCTGGAGTACGGACATGAGAGACAAACCACAAGCAAGAGCCAACGGAAACCCGCGGCCGAACTGGAGTTCAAGCACACGGAAGAGCGGGACGAGCAAGTTGCCATTGCAGTAGGTGCACTGTTGGACAAGAACGGCAGCGAACATATCAGCTGGGTAAGACAGGTGTTGTCAGACGCTGAGTCTGAACGTCGGGCATGGACTGCCGCCGCGGATGCTAAACGCGACGCTGAGGCCGTGTTTGGAGACGACCCTGCCATCACAGACACAGAGCCAAAGACGCCTCCTGTATTCTGTAAGATGAAATATTTCCCCCCTCTCTACCCGTCGACTTGAAAGCTAACTTGCACGCAGCCGTCAAGCCAGACGGCGCCGAACGCCGAACAGCCATGTTCAAGAACGCACACCTCCGTCTTCTCATGAAGCTCTCCGGCATGCAACTTATGGGCCCAGCATCTGAAGAAACCCCAGAGAGCCTATGGATCATCCCCGAAACCATATCCGCAGACCAGCTCAAAGACACCATCCACTTCATCAATCAAGCAGAGTTCAGCCCGCCCACCTTTGAAGACGGCTTCCTGGCAGAACACCAACTGAAGCGCAAGGCAGCACCCAAAAAGAAGGCCGCGTTTGATGACGAAGAGGATGCCGACGACGACGGCTTCCTCGATGACGAGACGCTCTTCCCCGCCGGGGGGCCAACGTCCCGCAAACTCGCCGACGAAAAGAAGAAGCCCAAGAAGACGCGGAGACGCCGCAAGGCGAACAATACGGTGGAACTGGACGACTCTGTTGTCGAGGAAAAGGTTCGCAAGCGCCGGGAGAAGGAGCTTGAAAAAGCGCGCAAAATCAAATCAGCATTGTATGTGCGTGACGGCGACGATGAGTTTGACTCGGACGAGGATGAGGCATTCTTTGCACGGGAGCGCGAGATTGCGACCCGTGCGAAGAAGGCGGCTGAGTCGGCGCGCGAGCCCACTTTACTGCCCAAGAAGAGAAAGTCAACGGCGGTATCGGACGTCAGTGACGAAGACGAGGAGGAGGATGAGCAGGACGATTTGAATCTTGCGAGGAGGATACTGAGTAGTCAGGAGGGCGGGGAAAGCGATACGGATGATACGCCTGTCGATTTGAGTGACGGGGAGGCGAGGAAGAGAAGGAGAGTCAGTGTAGAGGAACGGGATGGCGATAACGACGCCGACATGGATGTTGATATAATTACCAAGATGGCGGAAATGCAGGATGACGATGGAGAGGAGACAACGCAAGTTGTGGTCACCAGGAGACCCAGGGTACGCGGTGGATTTATCATGGACAGTGACGATGATGAGTAGATGGGACTTGAAGCACGGCGTTTTGCATGGCGACCCGAGGAATGAACAAATGATCGGGAATCAGGCGTTTATTTCATCTCATGCTAGTTTGTACGTCTATACGTTAATACATATCCAACTACGCGCTACCCGGCCAACTATTAATCTAACCCGGTACTACAGACCGAAAGCACAGGCTAATGATGCCACAAAAAGAAGAAGCAAAGCCGCAATTACCGCTGCACGCTCATGCTCGTCGTTGCCGTGCTCCGCGCACTCGGCAACCTCCCCAGCTCGGCCAAATCCTCGCGACTCCTCCTCGCAGCCCCGGGGCTCGCAAAGACACGGTCCCCGGGCCCTCTCGAGCCAGAGGAACGACTAGAGACAGCCGTCCCGTCACCGCTTCGATCCGCCGGCGGCGGCGGAGGCCCGGCGGCGCCACCCCACGAGCCGCCGATTCCTTCCATCGTGAAATCCGACGCCGTGGGCGCATCCAACACGTCCAGTTCGTCGGGGCGAAACAGCCTCGGCAAGACGAGCGCGCGTAGCGGAATCAGCAGGAAGATGAAGACGGGGAACCCAACCGCCGCGATGGTCTGGGTAATGGCAAAGGTGGCCCCGAACCCGAGCAGCTCGATGGCGACAAAGAGCCACACGGCCGAACGGCGCTTAATGCTCCGCAGCGGCGCGTCGGGAGGGGTGAGGTTGGTGTCGCGCGCCAGGAAGACGAGCTTGGCGGTGATGCCATTCGCCTCGAGGGCCTGGACGCCCATGACGAAGAAGAGGCCTGCCAGGACGCCATGGGGGATGAGGTGCAGGACGACGAGCAAGGGCCCCGTCATGGTGCCGAGCGTCAGGAGACCCTGGGCGAGGTTGGAAAGGCGCTGCTCCACGACATGCGTAGTCTCCAGGGTGAAGTCGCCCTTATCCTGGCCCTTTTCATCGAGCCGCTTCACCGGCTTGCTGACGCAGAGCGACTCCGTGTGGAAGGGGGCCTGGGGGATGAGGCCGTTGGGGAACGGGAGGCCGAGGATGCCCGCGACGCCGGTGGTGATGCCGAGCAGGAAGATGTCCCAGTGGAAGCCGGCGGGTTTGCGGAGCGGGAACTCGCTGCCCTGGGCGATGAGAGACGACACTGCGACCCGGTGGTGTGGTTAGCTGAGAGCTCTGGCGGGCACGCTCGAGAATGGTTTGGAAAAAGAGGGAGGGGGGGGGTGAACCGACCATTGTGGTCGAACCAGAACAAGACGGTCAGCAAGATGGCAAAGGGCAGCGCGGTAAAGACTTCACCGACGCTCAGGTGCCAGAAACGAACCAGCCAGGGCCTCCCGCTGGTCGGCTCAAAGGCAAGTCCCGTCGGCAACCTCTCCAACTCGACGCGGGCCATGCGCCCGATGTATACGAAGCCCGTGAAGAAGATGAGGGTCAGCGGCGTGCCGTAATCCTTGAGAAACACGCGCACAGGCTGCTTGAACAGGCTGCTCGTGCCCAGCTCGCCGCACACGTACGCCACCATGAAGACCAGCAGGGCCGCCATGATGGACAGGTAGAAGGGGGCCCCGTCGCCGAGGCGATCGAGCACCTGGATGCCCTTCTGGAGGTAGATGAAGGCGACGTAGAAGCCGAAGATGTCGCAGGGAAACCGGGTGACCCAGCGCAGCCAGTTGCACGAGTTTGTAACCGCCAGGAGGACATGCAGAATGAGGGACCATCTACGCGTGTGAGCAATTGCTTTCCTTTTTCCCAGCAGCAGAGGGGAGGGGGGAACATACATGCCTATCCAGGCCATGAAGCCAATATAGTCTACGCCCGTGTCTTTCATAATGTCGTATACAGTGCTGGGGGTGTTTGTTAGTTTCCCCGACGCGCCAAAGCCGGTATCATGAAGACCAACTAGTTAAATACGGTAATAGGACCTGGTACGATCAGCACACACACTTTGTTCATGGCACCACGACACGTACCAGTGACGCCAACGATGACCAGCGGCTGCGCTGCAAACACTGCAAACACAACCGACCCCAAAACGGACGCCAGCAGCACCTCATTCACGCCGTAATTAGAGCCCGTCTTGGAAAACATGTCGAGCGAGAAGGCCAGCGCCGGCAAGATACTAAAAGGTGGTTTCTTCTTTAGTTTCTGGTTCCTCGGGATGGACGGCAAAAACACACAGAAGAGACGGCATACTTTGCAAAGTACATGTAGACCGTCGCAGGAACAACTCGATAGTCCCAGGCGTCCAGCCAATCGCTCCCATAATAAGGCGCCCGCCTCCGCACGTCGTTGACCATGCCGCGGAACAAATGGACCTTGTACCAAGAAGGCGGCTGCCCTGCGGGAAGACGGTTGCCGTCGTCCATCGTCATGTGCGTGTGTCCTCGCGTGCCGGGGGTGGGGGGTGTATTCAATGTTCCGTGATGACCAAAGGGGTGGATTGGATGATGACGACAAGTCGGCAACGAAGCTCGTCTATAGGCGCATACTCTATATAGAAACATCAAAGAAGAAGAAGAGAAGAAGAGAAAAAGAAAAGAAAAGCAGCAAGATGGTGAATAAATCCTCCAACGGCCCGTGGTGCTGCTCCATGCCAAGTTGATGACGGCGACTCTCAAACCATGCAGGAAACTTTTCCAAGGGTCGAATCGGACCCAGCGAACTGCTAGTACTTGCTAGGGGCACAAGCACTTGGGTAAAGTACGTGAGTACATAACTAACTCGGCGGTGCTTGGGTTCCAAGCTTCCTTTGCGCCTCGGTACACCGGGAATGGGAATACTGCGTATGCCAGAGGCGAATTACACTCGGCCACAAATCCTCGTCACCAAGTGTCGCACGAGTCAAGGTGCTCGAAAGAAGGAATCACGTTGCATTCCAAGTCGACGCTGCTATCATCAACTCGGCTCCGTTCCCTCCACACAACCGGGAACTTTCTAAGCCAATCAGCATGCAGCATTTCGCTGCGTCCGGACGATTCACGCGGGTGAGCCCAAATCACCACCCCTGGCCGAGAACTCATCATACGCTTCATCCATTGACGTCTACACGGACGATTCTATTCTACTCCCCTCAGGTATACCTACATACATACATACAGTTTTTACATGACAAAAAAGAGTTTGCCCGTCCCCATGAGCGCCAGCCAGCACGCGCTATTATGCTGAAATACAAAGGCCGGGTATGCCTTCTTTATAGATAGATAAGAGTTGAGAGAAAGGGTCCTTTGCGCCAGCTCAAGCTTGCCGCTCAGTAACCAGCAAGGCCCCCAGGCATGAGAGCCCAGTCAGTCACACCTCTGAGCCATTTACATCCGCCAATCCGCAGGCCACATCACGTTTCCAGCATATCAAAAATCACTTCGGCTGCTGTGTAACCCCTGTCGCTTCTCTGAAAATAGCCTTCGTCTTCGAAAAAAAAAACCACACGTCATCTTGATCCATCAGTATGTTGGCTGAAGGCTGGGGCCGGAGCTGGAGGCTCTTCTTTTGGTGTGTCCGTCTCGTCCGCAGGGAATGGTGCTGGCGGTGCGCTCTCCTCCTTGCCACCCCCAAAGTACTTCTCAAACTCCTCATTGTTGTCTTCGAATGGTCTCTTGCCCAGAATACGAACCATGTCGTCCCGGACAAGAACCTCCTTCTTCAGCAGCTCCTCGGCTATGAGCCCAACCTCGCGCTTCTTCTCGAGTAAGAGGTCCTTGCATCGTTGATAGGCTTCATCCACAATTCTGTGCACCTCTTGGTCGATTTGTTGAGCCGTTGCCTCAGCAAACGGCTTCTGCATCCGGTTCGGGTCGTTCTCGAAGAAGACGGGTCCAACCTTGTCAGACATTCCCCACTGCGTCACCATATTTCGCGCCATTTGTGATACCTTCTTGAAGTCGTCGCTTGCGCCAGTCGTCACAGTGGGAAAGTGGAGTTCTTCCGAAACACGACCCCCCATTGTCATCGCCATGCGATCCATCAGCTGGTTGGTGTTCATCAGGTAAGCATCCTGAGGCAGGTACTGCGCATATCCAAGAGCACCCTGCCCACGAGGGATAATAGAGACCTTCAAAAGAGGGTCGGCGTGGCGAAGAAACCAGCCGCAGATGGCATGCCCAGCCTCGTGATAAGCCACCGTCTTCTTCTCGTCCGGTTTCAACACAAGGGACTTGCGCTCCAACCCTCCAATGACACGCTCGATTGCTCGCTCAAAATGTATCATTTTGACTTCCTCGGCATTACCTCGAGCAGCTGTCATATTCGTCAGCATTCAATTTCACACACACACAAGTCATAGACGCGGATGGGTATGGGTACGCACCAATGAGGGCTGCCTCGTTGACAACGTTGGAGATGTCGGCACCAGAAAATCCAGGAGTCAAAGTGGCAAGGCGGCCGACGAGGAAGTCTTGGTCTTCATTGGTGACAATCTTCTTGAGATACACCTTGAAGATTTCCTTGCGTCCGCTCATGGTCGGTCGGTCAATAAAGATGTGTCTATCAAATCGCCCAGGTCGCATGAGGGCCTTGTCCAGAATGTCTGCGCGATTTGTACCAGCCAACACGACAACTTGCTCACGAGTGTTAAAACCGTCCATTTCAGTCAAGATTTGATTCAGCGTGGCCTCTCGTTCATCGTTGCCACCAAATCCACGTCCGCTCTCCATTCGCGCACGGCCAATGGCATCGATTTCGTCAATAAAGATGATGCATGGAGCGTTCTTGCGGCCCTCAGCGAACAAGTCTCGCACCCTAGAAGGACCGACTCCAACAAACATCTCGACGAACTCGGATCCGCTCACACTGAAGAAGGGAACCCCGGATTCGCCGGCAGTAGCTTTCGCAAGGAGCGTCTTTCCGGTACCTGGTGGGCCAGCCAGAATAGCACCCCGAGGAATCTTGGCGCCAAGCTTCTCAAACTTCTCGGGTTGCTTCAAGAAACTGACAAACTCCATGATTTCGGTCTTGGCTTCCTCCAGGCCAGCAACGTCGGCAAACTTGACCTTGACAGCGCTCTCGGCGTTAAACTTCTTAGCTTTGCTCTTGCCAAAGTTGAACATGCCACCGCCACCAGCCCGGCCGCCCATGGATCGCTGAGTCCATAAAATGAGACCGATGAATAGTAGGGTTGGGCCAAAGGCCAAGAGAAGGTTACCAATTGTGCTGCCACCAGCCTCGTAGCTAACGGGTATTCTCTCTGAAGCGGGAATGCCAAGTTGATCCTGAGCCTCTTCAAGCTTCTTCTCGAATGACTCTACGGAGCCAATGGTGAAAATGTAGGTCCTCTTGCCATTGGAGCCAGCATCGCCTTGGGCAGCATCCGGGTGCAGCTCGACACGAACTTGAGAGCCGTTGACCACAACCATTTTTTGTACAAGACCCTTATCCAGGAAAGCCCTCCGCATTTCCTGCCAGGTGATTTCCTTTTCAGAGAATGGCTTGCTGAGCGAGTCAACCGCCCATAGCGTGATACCGAGAACGAGACCTGTCTGAAGAGCGTCCATCCAGCCATTTCGCTCGGGCTTTTTGGGGCCTCCAGGTCCCTGGTGATGTGATCCGCCCTCATCCGGCTTCTTATTACGAGCTTCGAATTCGGGCTCACTCTTGCCAGTATGAGCATCGTTTTGCTCTTGGTCCGGTCGTTGGTTCTGATCAAACATTCGATTTCCTTTTCGTTGCTCCTCAACTTCCCATTCGGCCAAACGCTCAGCCATCATGAATACGCATCGCATCAGTCGGCCCTTGTCCAGTATCGACAAGTTGCCCGGACCTCTGCGCATCTTGGCCAACAAGTCACGGACCTCAGCGGGAGCACCAGTCTGCTGCAGACCTCGCAGGATGTCCTTCAAAGTGGCTCTTTGAGCCTCTGGCAGAACTTTCTGGAAAGCATCTAGCTGAGCAATTTCGTCTTTTGATAAACGAATCCATCCTTCGGGAAGCGGCGCGAGTTTTGTAAGATCAGAATCCTTCTCTTTACCAGTCTTGGTTTCAGATTCATTTTGGTTTTTGGGTATTTCGGGAGTACTGTCTTTGTTCGCCTTCGAGTCTTCGTCTGGCTGCGGCGGCTTTGAAGATGAGTAGTACCTCACAGAGAGGCCGTAGGCACCTGTCACTGTCCGTGTGGGAATCGACCGTGACGCTGCGGGCAATCGTAGACTCCGGTGAAGACTGGTTTGTTGCGAGAGCCTAGCTAGCCGCGCGAGCTGGCTCGATTGTCGGAGATATCTTGACATATTGGGCATATCGGAGCTGTCGCAGGAAGCGGAACCACCGGAGTTGGTGAGGAAAGATTGGACGAAGAGCGCCTTATCTCATGAGCCGCGTAGACCAGTCCTCCACAGTTCAGCAGCGTTCGATCCAAGGGGCGCACACCCAACAGTAGCGTAGGCAGGGGAAAATCCAACGCTACGTGGAAAAGGGTTGACGGCAAATACAAGACTCGAAGCTTCTGGTGATGAGTCCACTTCGAACCAGAAATTAAACTGCGTCACGTGGATCAACCTCGAAATTGTGGGTCTCCAGGGTAGCTCTGTAGGCACCATGAGGTGGCGACAAAGACATGAAAATCGTTGTACGTAGTGTGGCAGACAAATAGAAAAGAAAAGCCATTTAAAATGTGGGGTTGGTCACGGATTAATAATAAGGTTGTCAACTCCCTCAAAATTGCGCATCTGTACTGAGAGGGTTGAGGCTAGCATTGGTTGTAAATGCAACGTACTGGATTTTTGAGGGCATCCATCCTTAACTCGGAGACACCGCGACAAAGATGAACCCTTGATCAAGCATTGTAGCATATGGCTTCATTGCTTCCGAGACCGTCATCAAAGCTAAATATCCCATTGCAAGCGTAGTAGAATTGACCGAATCTGGCCCCGTCCTCTTACCGGAATCCTTCGAGACATATCATTCAATTCCACAACAAGCTCTGCTGCTTCTCCGTCAGCCGCGGTTAGGTCTGGCCAATCGCGCCAAACCTCAGCCATGACGAACTCTGCTACTCTGTGTTGAAATAAACGGCCTAATATACGACGAGCTTGTGATTCTTCTCCCAGTTCGAGAAGCGCGACACTCGGTTTTAGTAACATGGCGATATCCAGCAGTCTAGAGTAAAACACATCTTCGTGCAGCCATCCAGCTGGAACAGGCAAATCATGATTTGGAACAAGGGCTAAGCGCGGTTCGTACTTGCGAACAGAATATCCCAGACCCCCCTGGCCAAAATCCCAGGCCCTTTGGGAGACATATGGTGGGTTTGACAGCAATATGTCGCAAGGAGTTTGGGCTACAGGGGTAATATCTTGGTCCTTGAAGATGTCACCCCTCAAGATATCAAGCTTTTGATCAGGCTGAGAAGTCGCAATATTGCCTAGCTTGGCATTATGGTGGACATTGAGCTTTGCGAGGCCGACTGCCTGGGGCGAAATGTCAACTCCTCGAACACGTAAGCGCCGAAAAGATGGCTGAAGCAAAGTATACAAAAGCAAAGGAATGCAGCCTGTGCCCGTGCAAAGGTCAACTATGCTCAACTCGGCAGTATCATTGCTTGACTTGCTACCCAAAATTTCTCCCGTCTTGATCAGATCAACAAGGTGGTATGTGTAGGCCTCTGTCTCCGGGCGAGGGATGAGCACGCCCGACCTGCATTTAATATCCAGGGGTCCAAAAGGCTGAGAGCCGAGAATATACTGCAGAGGCACCCCACGACGTCGTCGCTGGCAAAGTAACCTGAGTCGCTGAGCCTTGCTGTCTGAGTGCGTCGTTGTCTCCCTCGCATACTCTGTGAGCCAGCGGAGCTCATTTTTGGCGGATTGAATGTCGCGACATGCAGGAACCAAAGCAGCCAGATTGCGGGAGCGTTGTTTGGCTTGCTGGAGAAGCCATGGTGGAAGTCGTGGCATTGACCGGCCGCTTTACATGATCCAGACAATTGAGAATTTTTACCGCTGAGTAATAATAGCCAAAGTCGAAAAAGAATGCAAGAGGAAAAGTTACCAACCCGTTGAGCCTGACGAGATGTTCGGAGAGAAAAAATATGGGCCAATTGAGTGATGCGGCTTGTCTCAGTGAAAGGCGCCACATGCCCAGTCTCGTGGTGGGGTTTACCCGAGTTATACCCATTTGCGCGCCAATGATTTGACTGGCGACTGAAGATCATGGTTCCCATTTTAGACTCGTGATTCAACGATCCGATCTGTGATTGCGACTGTTGTGAACCACAGCGCCGGTGTTATATTTTTGGATATAAATTTTTTCAAGTATTTCAACAAAGTCTCGTAGAAAAATTTACGAGACCGATTATCTGAGTCGATCCGGGCCCCAGGGCATCTCATCACATCCTTATTCGACGACGGGACGTTCACTCTGAAATTGACGTCCAGGGTTTCAGAGACCCGAGTACAGAATGAACGCACCAGATCGGTAAGTCTGCATGAAACGTTTTCAGCCAATGATGATACCCGATACCTTCGGAGATTTTGATGTTTGAACACATTTGTGGCCGGTCAGCGAGTGCCGAAACTGGATGATGCCAGCATGGAGAGGACTGTTTGCTCAGGCGTACTTTCCCCAAACAAATATTATGGCGAATTGCGGCTTGGGGGTTTTAAGCCACTACGAAACGATCATGAGTCAAGTTCAAGTGAGCTGTCGGCGTGTCAGCTGCCCGTCGGCCCTTGGCATCTCTGACAGCTGCGAGCCGGAACACACGTAACCGGCTGGTGCTGCATTATCTTTGCAGGAGGAATGTTAAAAAATTCACCCCAAAACGAACAAAACTGGGCTGCGAAAATACGACACCCTATCCCTTCAGCGCATCTCTGTCCTCTCTCACCTCGCCATGACCGGCTGCAATCCAAAGCACTTCAACCTCCAAGATGATCCGTTGCGTGCACTTGAACCACATTCTCTGCCCAACACATGACTAACGACATATAGTTTCGAGCTCTTCTTGCTGAGCGAAGGGGAGAAACGAATTGAGGAGAAGGTGTACTCTGGTGTGTGGGCTCGAAAAATATCACCTCAGTCGATGTCGTAAGTCTAACGTCAAGCAGGCATGTCCAACACATCAGACTTTATTTTGAACAAGGAGGATCATACATTGGGCAACCTCCTCTCTGAGCACATCAAGGCTCACCCTAATGTCTACATGGCTGGCTACAAGCGTACGCATTCCCACATTCCCCCATATACCATCAGCCGTTTAACGTAACCCTGGTAGTCGGCCACCCCAATGTCCCTCAGCTCTTTATCCGCGTCCAAACAGACGGTACCAAAACTCCCCGCGAGGTATTCACCGCCGTCTGCGAAAAGCTTATCAACCAGCTAGAGTCACTACACCAAGAATTCACACGTGAATGGGAACTTCGGCGCATCACCAACACTGGAGAGCAGGGCAACATGCAAGGGACTGGTTTCTAAGCTGCAATACTGCAATACAGCCGAATGAGATATCTTTAGGTGTATCGGCGTTTTGGGTGATCTGGTACCTGCTTTTGCATTTTTAAGGAAAACTCTTGTCTCGAGGAGTGGTAGACTAGGAAACAGGGAATATTGACACCGGAATTGCATTTGTAAGACCTAACTCTTTACAAAATAATTAATTTGCTCGATCTGGGGCATCGCGAAGCAAGCACATCTAGCGTGTAGGCGTTTGCGACAAAGTCCTGATGAATGCATATTCACTTCTTAAACTGTCTGCGTAATTTCCCTCAGTTGCTGCGTTGGTGAGATCGGTCGTATTGTTGACACGGAGTTTGATGTCCACATGGCATTATATCTCGCCCACTCTCACAGCTCAAGCCGGCCCCTCACCTCCGGGAATCAACTGCACAGATGTTAGCATATGGGCGGGCACATATCCAAGTTGTCGCTAATAGTCCACCATACCATGCAGATATTATTGCCATTGAGCAGAATCTTGGGCAGTTTGGTGTGCGTTCCAGAGTAGTCGCTAGAGACGACTTGTCAGTAAACCTTGGGGTGCAATGAGAGCCAACACATAGACCTACAATTCCGTCACATCCTCCAAAACCATGTCTATACCATAATTTCAGCATGAGCCCGATGCAATGTACGACGTAAAATTACTTACTGACATAATCGTCGAATCCGACGAGCGTACCGCTAAATTCTAGCTCTGAGTTAGCCTCTTCACCCGTGTTAAAGTTCGCGGACTTGAAGCTAGAGGATCAATAAATGGCAAATACCCTTTTCTCCTTTCATGACAACCCATATCCTTGAACCAACGCACTTGTCAATGAGTTCTACTCGACTGTCAGCAGGCAATATGAGATTCTGAGAGGGCCACGACGCCTCACCGAGGGGCAGCAACTGGGACGCCATGGTGGATGTTTACGGATAGCGAGCCAGCGTATCCGTACTCGAAAGATTGTATTACGGCAATAGAGAAAAGAAGAAAGGCCTCCTTTGGAGTCTGTTGGCGCTCTTGTTGGATATTTCACCGGAGCAAGGATTGTAGAATCGTAGTGACCAGGGCGCTCAAATCACATTAAGCCCCGACATGGATTGTCTCCACGTGCGTGGTTCAGCAATGGGAATGTTGACTTACATAAGCAGCACACACCAAGACTAGTCGCGCCTTCCTGCATTAAGCGACGTGGGTACCTACAAGGCTACAACCGTGAAGCCAATCCCAACCTCTTGAGGTCCTCGATCAACTGTTCTCATGGCTGCCTGCTTAACCACAGCCCGCTTACGCTAGGCCATGGTAATTGGCCGCCGTCGTCATGCAGTCTTGCAACTTCACGTTGCATATTCCCGGCCATTCATGACATACTTGAACACGGCCGGTCTGCAGGCTGTTGGTAGGGCCAAATCACTTAGACCTGCCGGCCGCTGTGTACAAAGGGGACGTCGTCACCACGAAAGACCTGCAATCATTGGCATTATACTTTCTTTTTCATCCTCAGCAGGGCTGATAGGAACAATGGCTCGGCCATTGCGTGTGGCTGGGGAGAAGAAGCTATGGTGTCCCAAGTTGGGTATTCGATTCTCTCCGTCATCAAACTCTGTTCCGTTGTACCCTCCGCTGGATATGTCTCGTTTCGTGCAGACGGCGAGTGAGGACAATGATATCAGAAATAATTTCACAAACGAACCGTTTGGCTATTGTGCCAATGCTGTAATGGAACAAGACTTGGCTACTCTTGCAACAACACGCCATGATGCCATCCCTCAACCGAGTAAAAATTCAACGTCGACGAATCCCCAAATACCACTTCAACGTCCTACCACCACCATTAATCAAGAAAGTGAGAATTCACAAGGCAAAGAAGTCTCCAAACCCAATCCAGAAGGCGACCCGGAAATCGTTGAACCCCCGTTAACACCACTAAGCTTCAACATCTCCCCGTCCCTCTTCTACGCAGCCCGCGCCGCCAAAGCAGGCTCCTCTGAATCATTCTGGTCACACACAATGTATCAGCGGACTAGCGATCAAGGGGCCGTTGAAAAAGTAAAAGTTCACTACTGCACGAGCAAACATACCACGGAACAAGTCTGCAGGAAGCACTTCCTCGGAGAGGCGGTCCTCGGCTTCGACCTCGAGTGGTTCCCCTACGCATCCCGCAGCTCCGGAACGCGAGAAAACATCTCTCTTATCCAAATCGCGAGCCCGGGCCGTATCGGCCTTTTCCACGTGGCCATGTTTGCCAAGGGTGAAGATGACCTTGTCGCCCCTGCCCTACGCACAATCATGGAGGATCCCAATGTGAGCAAAGTCGGCGTCCACATCCAAGGTGACTGCACCCGGATGAAGAACTACCTCGGCGTCCAGGTCCAGGGTGTTTTTGAACTCAGCCATCTGTACAAACAGGTCAAGTACACAGCGGCTAAGACGCCCAAGCTCATCAACAAGGTGGCAGTAGCTCTGTCAACGCAGGTACATGACATTTTGAAGTTGCCGCTATTTAAAGGCGACGTCGTCCGGTCGAGTAACTGGATGAAGCGGTTGGATTACAAGCAAATTTTATGTAAGAAATTTGGTGCACACCCCACTCAGCCTCCAAAAGTAAAATGCTAATGAGCCACAGATGCGGCATCCGACGCCTATGCCGGTATACAGTTATACCATGTCCTCGACTCAAAACGCAAAAGACTAAATCCGTGTCCCCCAAGGCCTCACCACGCCGAACTAGGTCTCCCGATCCCAGTTGTGGAGTCGGAATCAAAGCCAGAAGAGGAAGCAGGACATCTATCTGACGGCTCCTTTAGCTCCTTCGGTTCGGAACTCGAAGCCGAGCTGCTAGCCTTGCCGCTAATCCCAGCCAAACCTCCAGTACGCGATGCTCGTATCCTCATAGCCGAGAAAAAAGCAGCCGAGTACCGCAAATCCAAGACTTCGGGCGTCTCGGCGCCGCCGACTTCCCTAAGAGCATACTTTGTCTGGCACAGCAACTTGGACCTCAATCCCGAAGCCGTTGCTCAACTCCTGAGAGATCCGCCACTGAAAACAAACACTGTTGTGTCGTATATTCTCGAGGCCATTGTCAGTGAAAAGATGACCTATGATAAGGGGAGATTGAAATCCGAGGTATTACCCTTGTTGGATCAGCGTGCTATGAAAGTGGGCAGTAGGTATGGGGCCTTGGTGAGAAGTTGTGAGAGGACTGATGAAGAAACGTGACGAACTTGACTTGGCGCATAATCGTAGATACGGCTGTACCATTTTGCATATGAGATACGTTCAACTCCAAGCACAAGAATGAATTGATTTGGAAATAAATGCATACCCCTACGAGATGAATTGTCTACTTGTCATGCGCAAATCTATGAAGCCAAAAGCCCTCTACCCCTATTAATTTGCACCTTTTTATCCTCTCCTGCACTTACGATGCCCCAAGACTTGTCCCACGCGACGCTCAACACCTTGGCACCATCACCAGCCGGCGGCAACTTTTTGCCGCTTAACCACTCCCTGGAAATGGTGTACACTGGCTCGCTGACGCTGCCGGACCCCTCTTCAGACGTGGCGGGCCGTACACTCCGGAGATCCCAGACGCGACAGGTGCTGTCGTGTGAACCGGATACCAAAGAGTACTCGTTATCAGGAGAAGGTGACAAGGATACAACCATGTTGATGTGGCCGCGGAGAGTCATGGCTGCAGTGGCGGTAGCTGCCTCTCGGGGGTCCAGGAGGGTGATGTGTCGCGCCGAAGAGCCTGCGGCGACGAGCGAATTTCCTGGTAATGCTGCCGCACACATGATTGGATGGAGGGTTGTCAATCTTGAAACCTCCTTCTGTGTAGTCAAGTCGATTGTCTTGACGGTGTGGTCCTGAGACGCAGAGTACGCAACAGTTGAGTCGTGTGGGTGGAAAATGGCGGCAGTGACTTGGTCATCGTGCATGGGCATCATGGCCAAGGGCCCACGCTGAGCAGTATTACTGGCGGCGGATAACTTGGCACGCTTAGCGGAATGGGACGAGGGCAGGCTTTCAGCATCAGCTTGGGGAGCAGCTTTTTTGGACGAGGTCCATAGGCCGACACGCCCGTCTGAGGAGGCAGTGAGGATTCGTTTCGTAGCGCAGTTGACGTCGATGGCGTTGATGTTCTTCTCATGGCCCCATAGTTCCATATTGTGTTTCAACGAGCCCGAGAAGTTGTCTTCTGACTCAGAGTAGTCCCAGATGACGACTTTTCTGTCAAGGCCTGCCGATGCAAGCTTTGAAGGAGATAGCCACCTCACGGCATTGACTCTTGACGTGTGCCCACCTGCTCTACCGGCACTAGATGTCGCAATCGCCTCGCCGGACGGATTCCATACTCTTACTAGGCCATCGTACGAGGCACTGGCAATTCTGTCATTGACAACGCCGTCGATACCCTTGCTAGCAGGGGCTGTTGCTGATAAGACATCAACGTCGCCGACCCAGTCGTCGTGCTGGAAACTAGCTTGATACACGGGCGGGATCAAGCTGCGAACGTACTGGAGAGTGAGAGTCGTCTCTGATGAGAGGCCATTCGATTTAAGGTAGTCTTCGATAGAGGTGCGTAGAAATGTGCCGTTGGCAAGGAAGTCGAGCGGGATTGGAGACGATGTGTCCAGCATGGACTCGGAATTGAGGATCCGAGAGAGGCCATATCGCTTAACGTCTGCAATACGTAAGCATGACAGTTGTTATGGAAGAGAGGCAATAAAGCGAACCTGCTGGGACAAGCAATTGTCTCTTGGACTCTGGGAGCTGCAAGTCCTGCTCATCGGTGGTGAAGATGACTTTCACCTGGGTCGGTGAGGAGTCCATCTTGGCGACAAGTGCTCCTTGGCAAACTGTAATGACAGTAAGCAAAATTCCTTGGCTAGCGAAGTCACTGGCCAAAGTTTGAGGGGTGTGGTAATTTACCTTCTCAATGGTATGGTGAAAATGCTGCGATGGTGTTCCACACAATCTCGACTGACAAAGACCGGCACATTCAAAAAAATTTGGGAATCAGAGCCAGCCTTGCAGTTTTCGAGACCCACAGCGGGGAGAGACGCTGGATAATTTGACCAATCAGGTGTGGATAATGGCGAGGCTGCGAATAGTAATGAAAGCGGGAATTGAATCAGAACTGACTTTTTTCATTTTTCTCTTTCCAATATGGCATTTGAGTCGGAATCTAACTCAGAATACGGAAGATTCTCTTCTGGATTTTTTTCAATTGGCACTTCAAGTTGAGCTGCAGCGATCACTTAGTTCCATCTTGGTACTGCAGAAGTTCAAGCAGGGACCTCAACCAACTTCACACCTCCAAACTAGTACTCCGTACTAGGCTGGCTGGTCACCGTGGACAAGGGGTGGCATCATTTCTTGGATGTTGGCGGGCTAATCATACCGAGGGACGTTAAACTTTGTCCTTTAAAACGAGAGAGCGACTTTCCGTTTGGGGCTCACTTCCCTGAAGTGCACCGTCGTTGACCCCGTTGACGATACGTACATACATCGATACTCCCATGCTTCGTCCAGCCCTTCCCCGCAATGTTTCGTCATGGGCGCCATTCCACCATGCACCTTGCAGATGTGCAAAGCCAACCAGGCTGCCGTCCGCCCCTCCATAATTCTCCAGGTGCTGCTCTTTGACGAGGCCAACAAGAAACGCACTTGAGATGTGGTGCACAATGACCTCGAGCTGGTCACCTGCGGCAACCCAGCCTCCTCACTTGCCGTTGCCCGATAGCGCTGTTGTTGGTGTTGTTGCTCGCGTCGTCTGAGGGGGTAAATTGCCATACTCGCTATTTGAAGTCAATAGTCGCGGCGGTACTGCGGACTGGACCTTACAATGCTGGGGTCTCTGTCATGTGCTAAAACAGCCACCACAAACCATGTGCTGTGAACCTTGAACAATGAATGAAACGAGGCCACGAGGACGGGCGGTGCACACCCGGGGTTAGGGTTAGGGTCTTGAGATGACCGGATGATACGGAGTATCGGCTCAGCATCCGACGTCAGACTCGACAATGTCTGGTTCGCGCAATTCTGCAGCATTGCGTCCAAGGATGCCAACCTCTGCTTTGTAGCGATTTCCTCACTGGGGAGCCTGCGCCGGCAGTCATTACGTAGTATTACAAACAATTACTCCCACGCAAGCAGTTGATGACAGTCAGACGTCATGTGCCAGATTTTCAGTCCCTGTTCCCTGCAACCCAACATCTCACGACTGGCAGGGTTGTTGCACCACCAAAACCACGCCTGCCACAGCGGCATCGGCCCACAAGAGCACCACAGCAACGAGTGGATGCTAATGGTCAGGTTCTCGGCCCAGAGCCAACCCCAGACCCACTGGCAATGCTTCGTGGGGAGACTGGAATACCTCGAATGTTGCGTCTGGAGCGAACACTCCAAGGTATCGATCAATTGATTGATCAATTGATGGACAGCTGGGGGCGAACTAGTGCTCAAGCGCGCAACTCGGGGGCGGTTGGCGAGCGGCTTGCCACCGAAACGGCATGAGAGGCAAACATGGAAGAGGCGGCTATTGGGCACTCTCTTGAGCATCGTGCATCAACACATCGCATCCTCACTCGAGCGGTCGTGCCTCCGCCCTGCCTCCGCCTTGGCTCGCCCCCTCATCCCCCTCGTCTATCCCTGCAGCTCGCATCCGTGATTTCAACTTCTCATCTGTGCCATTTCTCGCTCGTCGTGCTTGTATGCTGCCGACGAGCTGGGCCGCTGTTCCCTGTCGTTGCTAGTTCCCTGCCACCTCGTCTCTGGTCCCGCCAGCTCTGGCGCTATCTCGCCGCTTTCGATCGCTCTCCCCGACAAGCGTAAAACACCTCTGCCAGCTCGAAATTTTCATCGCTACACGTCCGCAGCACCTCAATCGGCCGCAGCAGGTGCTCCTACAGCTTCATATCGCCCGTCTGCAGCTGTTTGGAGCCTGTTGTTCCCTCAAATTGCTCCAACAGAGTCATCGCAAGCTGCTGCTGTTGTCGCATCCGACGTCCCCGCTCTCCATCCTCTTTCCTCTTTGCAATGGCTGACGGCGAGCCTGTTCGAGATGTCAAGAACCACCTCCTCTTCGAGATTGCTACCGAGGTAGCCCATAGAGGTGCGGCGACCAACCCTACCGCTTCTCTGTCCTTTCTTCTGCTGACTTGGCTCACCTGTAGTGGGTGGCATCTACTCCGTCATCAAGTCCAAGGCGCCCGTGACCACCGCCGAATATGGAGATCGATATACGCTCATTGGACCGCTCAATCACACCTCTGTACGTATCTGAAGTCTGTTCCTCAGCCACTGCCTCTTTCTAACACATCCTAGGCGGCCGTCGAGGTCGAAGAAATGGAGCCGACCAACCCAGAGATTGCCAAGACCATGCAGGCCATGAAGGACCGAGGCATCGGCATGTTGTACGGCCGATGGCTTATCGAAGGGGCTCCTAGAGTCTTGCTGATTGACACCAAAACTGCCTATGGATACATGAACGAGTGGAAGACGGATCTGTGGAATATTGCAAGCATTCCCTCCCCGGCTAGTGACGACGAGACCAACGAAGCCATTGTGTTTGGGTACTTGGTGGCATGGTTCCTGGGAGAGGTGAGTGTAGCTAGAGAGCTCTGCGATTTGCCAATGACAACTTCAATTGACAAGGCTAATGCTCGGAATCTGCAGTTTGTCTGCCACGAAAAGAAGCGAGCCGTCATTGCTCACTTCCACGAATGGCTCGCCGGTGTTGCCCTGCCTCTGACCAAGAAGCGTCGCATTGACGTCACCACCATCTTCACGACGCATGCCACTCTCCTCGGACGATATCTTTGCGCCGGCTCTGTCGACTTTTATAACAACTTGCAGCACTTCGACGTCGACGCCGAAGCCGGCAAGCGGGGCATCTACCATCGATACTGTATCGAGCGCGCAGCCACACACTCTTGCGACGTATTTACGACCGTGTCTCACATTACAGCATTCGAGTCTGAGCATCTGTTGAAGCGAAAGCCCGATGGTGTCCTGCCCAACGGGCTCAACGTAACCAAATTTTCCGCCGTCCATGAGTTCCAGAACTTGCACCAGCAGTCCAAGGAGAAGATTCACGACTTTGTTCGCGGTCACTTCTATGGCCACTACGACTTTGACCCGGACAATACCTTGTACGTCTTCACTGCTGGTCGTTATGAGTTCCGAAACAAGGGTGTCGACATGTTCATCGAGTCTCTGGCTCGGTTGAACCATCGCCTGAAGAATGCCGGCAGCAAGATGACGGTTGTGGCCTTCATCATTATGCCGGCGCAAACGACGTCGCTCACCGTCGAAGCGCTCAAGGGCCAGGCAGTCATCAAGTCGCTGCGGGACACCACGACCATGATTGAGCAGAGCATCGGACGGAGGATATTCGAGCGGTCCCTCAAGTGGCATGAGGGAGACTCAATGCCCGACGAGAAGGAGCTCATTTCTGGCCAGGACCGCGTCTTGCTGCGACGTCGGCTGTTCGCCATGAAGAGAAGCGGCCTGCCGCCCATTGTCACTCACAACATGGTCAATGACCAGGAGGACCCAGTACTGAACCAGATTCGACGTGTCCAGCTCTTCAACCATCCCTCAGATCGCGTCAAGGTGGTGTTCCACCCCGAGTTCCTGAACTCTGCCAACCCCGTGTTGCCACTGGACTATGACGACTTTGTGCGAGGCTGCCACTTGGGCATTTTTGCTTCATACTACGAGCCGTGGGGTTACACGCCAGCCGAGTGCACCGTCATGGGTGTTCCCAGCATCACGACCAACTTGTCAGGCTTCGGCTGCTACATGGAGGAGCTGATTGAGAACTCGAGCGACTACGGCATCTACATTGTCGATCGGCGGACAAAGGGTGTCGACGATTCGGTCAACCAGCTGACGTCGTACATGTACGAGTTTTGCGGCAAGAGTCGTCGTCAGCGCATCAACCAACGAAACCGCACCGAGCGCCTTAGCGACCTGCTCGACTGGAAGCGGATGGGCATGGAGTATGTCAAGGCTCGTCAGCTGGCATTGCGCAGGGCATACCCCAACTCGTTTGCCGGCGATGAGGAGCCCGAGGACTTTATTCCGGGCGTCGAGCAGAAGATTTCTCGGCCATTCTCGGTGCCCGGCTCACCGAGGGACAAGAGCGGAATGATGACGCCAGGAGACTTTGCCAGTCTGCAGGAAGGTCGCGAGGGTCTAAGTACCGAGGACTATGTCGCGTGGAAGTTGCCGTAAGTCGAGCCCGCCCGGTGTAACTGAATTCAGGTCGATTTCAATTTCAAAGAGGAATGTGAATAAAGAAGAAGTAAAAACTGACACGAGTTGTGATAGTGCTGAGGAGGACCCTGAGGAGTACCCCTTCCCTCTGACCCTGCATACCAAGCAGCCCGGTGGTGAGAGTCCCTTGCCACCAGCTGCCCTGAACGGAAACTAGGCCAAGTACGCATCGCGAGCGACATGTAAAACTGTGTTTGACTGTTGATTTGAGTTCTTCCTCTGATGCATTGCCAACTGTTTCTCCATGCGCGAGTCGTTCCAGGAACACCATCATACGGGATGCTTACACGGAAAGGGATGCGGGTGCAGATGCGGATGTGGTATCCTTGTGTAACTTGGTATTTTTATTCTTATTTTTATTCCTTCTTCTTTCAAAACATGTCTCGTATGGGCGTACAATACCATTACCGCATCATTCTTAGCTGAACGAGTGTGCAACTTTGTGAGACGAGACGATGAGCGCTGCCCGTACGAGGCGTGTTGAACAAAAACAAACGTGGCAACGACGATGGGCAATGATGTCACCACTCGGCCCGAGAAGGTTTTTTTTTTTATTTTCGCTTCCCAGATCACGGATGTACTACACACAGTGTACACACAAGAATAGTTTTGGCGGCATGGAGTCGTGAGATGAAAGGAACATGGCTGGGCGGTTGGGCTGGGCGGCCGTGCGGGAAGTTTATTTGCCGGCGCAAATCAAACATGGAGCGATGAGGTGATGGGATGGATGGGTTGACGTAGCAACCTGCGGTTATTGTCGTCGGCTCGAGTTACATTGCCGAGGTTAGTCTGTTAAATGCCCTCGAGAGGTAAGGGGTTTTGAGCAGTTTTTTTAGTTTTTGTTTTTGGGTGGGAGAATTGTAACTATGTACTACAACTTGTCGTGAAGAGAGGCTGTTTATGTGGACACAATCTTTGTGAGATGGATGCATTCACCCTGGCCAAGTATACACAACTATACTACCATAGCTGTCCATGTAGCTCGACAGGATTGCTGATCTGATGACGGCTTTGCAGTCTTGGTCTTATCCCCCTCTCGACTGCAGGGTTCGTTGAAATTGGCGGAAATGCTTCCATCGTGGTGTATTGATGCCATGGCAGTCGGCGTGGTATCGGCATGATTGGTCAACGGTGTGATTCGCACGCTGTACGGACTAGAAGTAGCCTCACTGACTGAAGCGTTGCCATGGTAAGGAAGGTGATGGGGTCTGCTCTTTGATTCCGAGCTAGAAACCCTTGGTGCCGAGCCTTGGTAGGGGATGGGACTGCGTATCCTGGGCTTGATGGCCTACTTGCGCAGCCATCTCCCGGCAGTTGGAATTGGGAGCAACGAAGTAGTACGTAGAAGCAACGGATATTGGGTGCTGGGCCGATGATATCACGTTATCAGAGACACGGAGGGCTGGTTCGGCAAGTCGTGCTTGACGCACGTCTGATCAAGATGCCGACATGGCCTACGGCCACGAATATCGCCCCTTGACGGCATTCTACGGCATCTACGAGCCATGATCAGGTGGGAGCCGTGGACCGGCACATCTTCAGCGAGACCCTTGCGCGGAGATTAGTTCCTGTATTCAATTATCGGCCCAGGGATTCAAGCGAAGACAAGGCCACGTGCGGAGCATGATACCAGGTGAAAGTTTTCCATCAGTGGCCTGACGAGTAATGACGTTTGATGTCAAAAAGTGACAATCTGCCCCGTCGACTGTCGACCCTCCCGTTGGAACCGTGAACCCTTTCTCTACTCCGCATACGCTATCGTTTGCAAGCTGACTCGAGATGCGACCCAGGGTTCAAAAAGACCTAACCCTCGCCCTCGGAACCAAACAGGCCGACATGTCCCCCGCCTCGTTGCGTGATATTGCAGTTCCCCCTCTGGAGCCCTGCGTTTGAAGATGAAAAGAAGCGAGATTTGCAAAAAAGCCACAAGTTGATATGTATATTACATCACGCCACATGGAGCGCACACGTCGAAGCCCAGGCCACTTCGTGCGGAAAACGCGAGATGTCGCAAGCACCAGACACAATCGCATTGTGTGACGAGGAGAGTTAAAAAAAAACGCGTCGCGTGAAAGGAAAGAAAAAAAAAGCACATGTATGCATACTATTGTCCAATATAGAAGAAGAGACGTGTTCCTGTCGGCCCCATAGCCACGAGCGCCATCGAGGTGGACAGAGGCGGACGGGGCCGTGGAGACGAACAATAGGTTGTACACGGAATCAATAGCAATTAGTATGTATGCAGGTGCTCGAATCGGGCTCCCCATTCCGCGTGGAAGCCAAGCTCGAAATAGGACGGGCCTCGTCCGCCCACCCAGGTTCCTGTCCAACGTATGTATGTGCGCAAAAACACAACGGGCTCAGGCACGAATCGGAAGTTTCCCCCCGTCCGTTGATGAAGAAAAGAACATTGAAGGAAACAAAGAAACTCTATCCCCCAAGACAACAACGCAGCGGCGGGAAATAACAAGGCCACGACTTTAGATGAAGACGAGCGGGCACGGTCGCGACTATTTCGTTCTTCTCATTTGAACTCGGTGCTAGCGCTAGTCCCTGAGGCGGGACGACTGACATCGATGTCAAGTGGAGTCGGACGGTCAGTGTGGAGGCCCCCGTCAAGCCCCATTACATCACCTGCAGTGGACTCAGGGGCTCTTGGGCTGTATCAGGATGCGGATGCCAAAGTTTAAAAAGACTGGAAGCGGCAGAAAACATTCCATTCACAAGCTTCTTGGTGCGCTTTCGCGGGAATGGACACATGTGCACCGTCCGCTCTTCCTTCACCGCCGTGGGTTCGAAATTAGCCAAGTACTTAAGTAAAGTAGCTAGCACGAGCCGTCCGGAACCGCTGACCCCATCACATCGTCATGCCCATGTTTTTTTTACTCTTCTACAGAATGCCAATTTCCACAACAGCAGACCCCGAGGGCCCTGGCGCACCCTGGCTCGCTGGAAGGAGACAAGAGGGGAAAAGAAGAAAAAATAGGGCCCCGGCCGAGAGGAGAATCAATTTCGATACGGAGTATTTGCTGCCCTGAGGGCAAGCAAAGTGGGGGCCGGTGCCGCTGGGAACCGGGGATCGGGGCATTGTAGCTCACAGTGCAAGACGGAAATGACATGGTCGTGGCCTCATTAGGTGCATGTACTCCGTCTACAACAGGATTGATTTGGCTTGCCGGGGGGGCCATGGTCGCGGTTGAGGCCAAAAGCGACGAGTCGCTGCCTCAACTGGCGTCGTATTCTTTTCCCCCAACTCCCACGGCCAGGAGCCCGTACGTACATGTAGGATTCTGCCGGAGAATAACTCATCCCGAGTACTATTAACTCGTGCAGATCCCCATATCCCTCTGGAACACGTGCCTGGAGGATGTAAAAGAATCAATGCAATACCACACTGGGCTCGAGACTTTTTTCAACAACAGAAAAATTCACTGCTTGGTGTAGATTCCCAGCCGTCTGCGCGCTCCGGCTTAAAACTGCCGACATGGACGCTCCCCCGCCACAGCTCCCCCCCGTCCCTTTTTCCATCCAAGCGAAAACTTCTAATTTCCCCCATCTCCAATCTCGCCCATATTATTCCAGCTTTTGGTGCCAAAATAACAGCCCATTCGCTTGCCCCCCGCCAAAGGACACCGCCTGCCCATCCTCGGTCCTTCCATCAAATGCCCACGTTTCACGTTAAACCGGGGCAAAGGCGGCCATCAGACATTGAACCCGCACGTGGGCAAAAAGCAAAAATACATTGCACCTGCAGCCCGCCACGTCCCGTCCTACGCCATTGCCGTAATTGCACCCTTGCCATGCATTCGCGCCATGTTGGGGTAAGCCGCCTCTTTTTTTTGTCTCTTTTTTGTCTCTTTTTTTCTTCTTTTTTTTTCTTATTCCGTTGCTCGCACGCGGGAAAAGGCCACCTCGAAAAAGGAAATACCCTCCGTAGTCCTCCGTACGGAGTATACATACTTGAGTACATTTAAGTACATACAATTAGTACCTAGTGCTCCGTAGTAGCCCCCAGCTCTGTCCCAACAGCAAGGCCGTGCCAAGCTTCAAAACTTGCAAATTCCATTAAATTAAAGGAAAAAAAAAAGCCCAGTTATTTGGCATCACCTGACAGAAAGTCCAGTTCCATGGTCCTTATCCATCCACCTGGCACACAAGGACAAACCCCCATCCCACGACCGCCCCGCATCGCATCGCACATCGTCATATGTGCTAGTATTGTTGAACAACTGTGTCACGCAGCGCTCCCAATAAGCCGCGCCGATTTTCACTGTGCATAGTCCTGCATGTATGCACCTGGTGACAGCAGAGGGCTCGTTCCTGCGCACGTTCCGTCAGCACAACGTGCCGAGTACATCCGGGGGCCATGGGCGCGCGAGTCTTGAAGGGGCCTTTCGAAAGTACTAGCAAGTTGCAACACGCATGCGCCCTCGTGGGACAAACCCCTTGCGCAGACGTGCCGAACATGCAGATTCACGATACAACACGGCCGTTTTCACAATGCCTCATTGGCTCAGTCGCGCCTTGGTGCGGGACGTGCAGAGCGTCTCGACCGAAATGCCGTGTCTCAAATCTCTGCAAGACACCTCGTTGCAATACAGACCAGCTTCACACGCGACTACCAATGTAGATTGATTAAAAAGAAAAAAAAGACAATTTTGATTCTTGGAGCTAGTTCTGAAAACTACTCTCTACCGCATGGCAGTTTCTGCTGCACAATTGCCCGGTGTCCTGATCTGCCAGTCTTGACACCTTGACCACCAAAAACAAAAAAAGCCCCCATAACGCCAATGTGAATTGTCGAGGACCTTGTCCTCTCATTAGTATATACATTATTGTGAACGCCGGATATTCCATAATCAAGCGAGCAGCTGCCGCCCCAAAAGTCCGTAGGATTCGCCGCCCAGAAAAATCAATGTGCCGCCGTTGCCCAGTATAGGTCATTTGCCCATTAAAACATAATGCGCCGCCGTGTAAAAAGAAATATCATCAGGAGGTACAGATCACCCTCATTAGCTGTAATAATGCATGGTCGGAAAAGAAGAGGAAGCAAACAAGTCAACAGCTGTCTCATGCTTTGACACTTCGTTGTCGGCCAAGAGATAATCCTGTTCGGAATCGGCTCTTCGGGGATATTGGTGATGATGCTTCACTCCGTGGCGATGACACAGATCCATGTCGTTGGTTGCTGACGGGACCGACACTATTTGGCTCCAGGCAGAGGCTTTCCCTGGGGTCTTCCTCTTCCTCAACCTCGCCAACCTTCTCCATCGGCGTGAGTTGGCTCTCGCTTTGGTGCAAGTTCGGCTTGCTACGCTTCTTGACCAAGCTAAGTGTCCTTCGGAACATGGACGTGGGTGTCATGGGACCCCTCAGATGCTCGGCTGCCTCATCCCTGACCTTGGCATACGGGTCAATGTGCAAGAAATGAGGCCGCTTCTTCTCAAAGCCAGTCGTCATGCTGCTCGAGCGGGGAGGATGGTTAAATTTCATGACGGAGGTAGCGGAAGAGACGGACCGTGGCCGCTGGTGTTGAAGAGATGGCTCAGTAGCTGTGCGCAAAAGACCAGTTCCAGGTTGTCCAACTTCGCTCGAGCTTGGCGATATCGACCTCCGTGGGGACAGGGTCACAATGGATGGTTTGCCGTGAAAGACTACAGCCACCACGCGAGCGGTGTCCTCGCGGGCCATGTTTCGCGTACTAGGCTTTTGTGAACCGCCCTCGCCATCAGACTCCATCTCGTCATCAAAGTCGGAAAAGTCGTCGGCTGATGATGAAGCGTCCTCCTCGGAAGAAAGATATACTTGGTGTGGTGCGGCATGTGGCAGCATGGGCTGGTCATCGTTGGGTGCCCTCTTCTGAGGGATCGAGGCGAGAAGCCTCGAGGCTCGAAGGGAGCTTTTGGCAGGAAGAGCAGGCACATCACCAGTCGGCATGGCGAGGCTGGAGGTGCTGCTGCTGCTTAAGTCCCGGACAGAGAGCATGTCGTCGTCGTCTTTCCCGTTCGCACTGCTGTTGCTACTACTGGTATCGTTGCTTTCGTCACTACTGCTGTCTTGGTCTTTTTGTTTGCGCGCCCCGGTCTCAGACTCTGCGGCAACAGGCAAGTTGGATTCGGTCCGTGGCAGGTGAGGCTGGCCCTTTAATGGAAGTTGTGAGGAGGGGGAGTCCGAGGAGGAGGGGAGGGAGTTTCTATAAAGCCTCTGGGTTTGGTTTTCCTTGGTGGCAGCATTCTCCTCTGTGGACTGTTGGGCTGGAATGGAAGCAGCACCATATGTGGGCTCTTCTGACAGCGACATGGTTAAGAGCGCGTGGTGTGGAACAAAAGCAAGGTAGACAAGTGTGTGTGGCTCCTTGTGCTTCTCCTCGTTTGGTTTCCGTAGGAGTTTCGAAAATATGAACTACCCAGAGGTCATGAGACACGCAGGGTTGGGATTAGGCAAGTACGTATAATCGAGAGAACAGAAAATAGTTGTGTTTAAGCAAGAGTTGATACGGCTTCTTGGTCGGTAGCGGTTTCGTTTCGAGGTTTCGAGGTTTTGGGTTTAATGGGGCCTGTTGAATCAACGATGGCTGCCAAATCCCAGACACCAAAGGCCAGGTCTCGGAAGTAAGAGGTGTGACGTGACAAGACTGGCCAGGAGGTGCTCGATAGACGAGATGGATAACGAGATGGTGTCAGGCGTGTAAGTGTGGGCTAACCCCTTGGTCGAAACGAGGGAAAGGAATTCGATGAATGAAGGACGCGAAGACAAGTGGCAGAAGGGAGAGGGCTGGTTGGAAGGGCTCCGGAATGTTTCAACCACAGCCTCCCAGCTCCCTAAGTGTATGAGAATGGTAAATGGTATGTGAAGAATGGGTATGGTATGGAACAGGAACTCGGAGAGTGGGAAGGCCGGACGAGATATGGAATATGGATGAACCGCGCCAAACGGCCAGGGATCGACTGGAACCGCAACGGGCTCACAAACTCTTGCAGCGATGCCAGGTTCATCCATACGGACCATACCCGTGCATGCCATGGACGGACGCATCCACACCGTTCTCTGGTAAGGTTGACCAGGAAGATTGACCAGGGCTGACCAGGACCAAGCGGGCGAGATACGGATGTCCCACTCTGCACCTGGGATGGGCGGCCGTGTGCAAGATGAGGCTACGCACTGGGTACAAACCAGCGGTAGCGTGCGACCAGGGGCTGGGCGACCCGCCCTTCGTTCCTGAGCCTTGTGCCTGTCGTGCCTGTGCTATCTGCTCGTGCTACCGGTGCCTGCAGAATCGACTCCGTCCTTCCGTCATTCCAGCTTTCTACCAGTTGACCTCGTCTCGATCAAGTAAAGCCGAGCGTTGCGAACTATTCTTGTGCATCTCTGCCCTTGGGCGTTTTTGGCGAAGCGCGGCACACACAAAGCACAACGGCCTGTGTTCTGCCGCCAGTACTCCGCAGGTACTTTGTGCGATACCAAAAAGCACGTAGGGACTGAAGTACCCCGTACCAAGGTACCTACCTACTTTAACTTGGAAGTGTTTCAAAGTGCGGCCAGAGTAATGAATGGGCGCCAGGGCCTAAAAGGGTGGAAAGAACGACCAAGCTCGGACCACTCGCTATTGTCTCCAACATCCACCATCATCATCATCATCATCATCGCGATCTCGTACAGAAATACCACACCTGAGCACATTTTCTTCCTGCCCTTCCTGTCTTTCCTGTCATTGCGCATCTAGACGAGCCATCATGTTCCGACACAGTGTTCCCTAGTGCCAGTCAGCATTCAGGCCTTGCGTGTCTTATTTCTATTTGTGGGCGCTCGCAAGTCGTCGTCCTTGGGGAGGCTGGCCAGCTCTCTCGGTTGGGCAAAGCCAGTCATTGCCTGGATGCCCACCACCACCAACACCACCACCATCACCACCACCATCACCACCACCACATCCGCACTCTGGCGAAAGCTTAAGTTAGGATCGTTCGAATGCTCAGCCCAGGCCGGGGGTGTAGCAGGCTGGCCTGAGATGGCCGTTGCCTGTCAGAAGTGGCTTGTCGCCACCATATCTAATGGCTAGTGAGGCGTGGCCACGAGACTGCTTCCAAAACGAAAAGAGACCAACGGCACTGCCAGTTCAATAATATCCAGCCAATGGGAACGCTGTGTTGCTTCAGGGCTGTTTTTGATGCCCTGTGGACAGTCCATTGTCTGGAGGCCCGCATTCCTTCCCAGGGAAAGGCTGATACTAATGACCAACCATGAGGGGAAATCCGGACTCGGTGCCAGCAATCACCTTGAATTCTTTCAAACTATGGAAACAGATTGGATCACACCATACATACTTGCGGCGACGGATAAGCGTCTAAAAGGGATGCGAGGGTGTTCAAGTTGATCCGCTATGTGAGCCTGAAGGCGATCGGAAACCATTGTGGGTTCAAGCCCAAAAGCCCAGCAACAATGTGCTTGTGCTACATGATTGGGCACAGCCTCGACCACCATCACGGTCAGTTGCAACGAATAAAGAGGCTCCAACGACTTCACTGTTTGAGGTGTTGTGAAAGGCAGTTCTGACCGTGGTCCTTCTGCAACCGTTCTGTAACAATGGCGTTGGCTCGCCTCTGGTTTCGACTTCTAGTAGGATTCTTGTCTGCGCGTGTTGTAACGGAGGACAGTCCGTCACGAAGGCCTGATGTATTGTCCGCAATCGACCACAACGGAGGATGCGTTCCTTCGACGATCTGGAGATGGAGTTCCTCCGATGCTGGGTTGGATGGACTGTGATGACACAGCTGACGCTTATTAGCCTGGGCGAGGATCCTGGTTTTGCCCCTCTGTCCCTATTTTGGGCTTGAGTTGACAAACATGGCTATTCGCTTATCGGCGTTGGTAACCTTGGACGGGTGCAAATGAAGAACAAGACAGCCTTTCTCACGGCTATGATTAAATACCACTTTTCTCAACGCAGAAGTTATCCTCTTCATCGGTCTTTACAGGCGCAGAGATCCTGCCATATCGAAAGCAAGAACAGCCACCACCCGAAATTGTATTTCTGGCACCACCGCCACTTGGGGCAGGCCCTCTTTTTTTTTCTGCTCCCCCATCTTGCGGCTGATCATCAGACTCCTCAGTCCAGGGCGAAGGTAGGTGGATGCCATCCGAGGGCTTAACGCCTCGCGCCCGAGTATTCTTTGACGACGAGTCTCAGTCGAACCCCTCTCGTCCACATTGCTCTGGGCAATAGCAATTGTCGCAACATGTTTAATCATGACTCAACCGTCTCTTTGAGTCTCAAGTCCTATCCCCCGGCTGCCATCCAGCCATGTGCAATAGGAATTTGTCTACAAATAATACACGCATTTTCCGCGGTTTAGAACTCGAGCTGCTACACTTCATACCAAACGCTGCATGCGCACAGTGTACTCGGCTCCAAAGCTGCAAGATTTTCGAAAATACCTAATGAATGCAACTAACAGGAGGCTAGTCCGAACTGTCATGACTCTCGCGCTGGGAATTTCTACTGCCCCGTCAACCACAACGCATCGTGAGGTCTGCCGCGGGCGGCAAATGGGCAGAGGGTGGGCTGTATGCATGGCCACCTCCACACCACTTTGATCACACCATGCATGCCGTATTGGCAGAATCTGCGAATCACACTTCGCAAATGCACACATAACGGTACTTGAGTTGCTTCTACAATGTCGAATGGTGGCTTTCCTGCCGTTGCATCGCAAGGCCCGCAGCCAGACCGACTTTTGACTTTTCATCGCCGCCGAAGCGGGTTTTACTCCTTTGGTTCCCAGACAGACCAACGTGCATCCTGATCATTGTGCAGATTTTATTGTTCTAATAAAAGAGAGGCTGGTGATTTCCGTGACTTGAAGTGAAGAAATTTGATGAATCACTCCAGGATCGAAGTAATGGTGTGCTGATACGTACATCATGGACGGCATTCACAGTGCGTCATGTGAATGCCCCATCCCTTTAGAATGTCTTTAAATCCTATTAAAATCAAGTCGATAGATCTTACCCTTGGCCCTGCGTAACCTGTTGTGCGGTCCAGACCTCCCTTGACAGACGAGCCTCCACTTTCATCACTTGGTCGCGATGACGCGCATGCTTCTCCTGCTTTTGACGAGCCGATATATCGTTCTGGTCGCAGGTAGAGTCTGTGTGTTCTCGTGGCAATTTTTATGCAAAGCATTTCAGAGGCTAAAACGGGCATTGTGCCAAAGTCGTCCGATGTGGTGATGCGCAGGGCATGTGCGGCATCACGGGAGATGCGTCGATCAAACGCCAACTTCTTTGTGCTTTGATGGTCGCTCTTGGCTCCCTCGGATCGCTGAGAACTGGAGGATGGTAAAACAGTTATGATACGTGACTTTATCATGCTATACGCCTGCGTGGCGTGTGCCTTTTGTCTCCTCGCCCATTCTGCTGCCTAATAAAGAGATCTTCCTCTCAAACAGACTAGCAATGGGGCAGTTGAAACAAGACATGGCAGTTCAAAACCATCGGACCAATGCACGTCATCTTCCACGTTTAACTCGACTGGTTTCTCATACCAACTGCGTTTCGGTTCATCCATTAAACCTCGCCCACTCTCTAGAACGGAGTACAGAGCACAATTGCTACATTTCGCTTGCTCGTCTTGTTAGGTATTTGATACGGACCATTCTTTTCCATCTGCGTATCACCTGTAACTGGAGGAGCGCCCCTCATTTATTTAGAACCGAATAACTGCTTGGACGAATAGCATGAATTACCTCGCGACCATTATACCCTATTCCATTCCAGCAAGTCAGCATTGCTACATCCCGTCCGCACTGTCCAAGTACCGCGAACTGCAAGGACCCACATACTATTTACGGACGCGGGGTGGCTCTCCCATGCGCCACATGTGACGTCGTGGTGGCTGGGTGCAACTTTCCAGCCACAAGGGTGCGTCGCGGCTGGCACGCAGCGATGGAATGGGACGCGCCGGCAGGTGGAGCCCTTCGGGTAACTTTCTCTGTGGTGGCCAAAGGGAGGGGAGGCGAAGGGAAATAGACTCGGTTGGCCGTTTACGAGCGACGCATCAAGGCATCAGGTAAACAATGCATTGTCCATGTCGGCGGCGATGCGTTGTCCAGTTTCCACGCACGCCCATCTTCACATGTCTCTTGGACGCCACTTCCCCATTCTCTGCAGAGTACGAAACTGTGCAACATGACACAGCAGGATGCGATTCGTCCTTGTACATGAACGGGCAGACTTGGCTGGCTAAATTTTAATTATTATTTTCTTGGGCTGCCAACACCTGCAGACCTGCGGTGTCCAAGGCATGGCCGGACGGTACGTTGTACATACATCCTGCTCTGTGTTTCATGGCCCCTGATACCCCCTGTTTCTTGATGGGGGCCTACAAATACTGTGCCGGCGAGGTCATCGCCATGTCGCGGTCCACCTGCATTCCCGCGCGTCAAAATCGAACAAGCTGATGCAGATGGATCCCTGGAATAAATCGCAATCGAACACTTTAATTTAGGAGTCGACCAGTGGATACATGATAGATTGCGGGGCGCAAGCATCGAGGATTGTACGGTATGCACACGTCCGATGTTGATTAGTCGGCTATAGCGGGATGTGATGAGCTGTTGACAAATCACTAGAATCAGCAGCAGCCTTCTGCATGCTCTGAATACCTAGGTGTCTGTATCTACTTTTCCTGAATGTACATTATTTCGTAGGCCATGATAGATACGCTCTATTAACGCAACTGGCTATGATATGCCATCAATCATTCTCCCAAGTCACCATTGTAATTACTATGCCAGGTACGGCCACACATACTATCATATCTTATGTCACGTCCCACGTCCCTTCATCCCATTCATACCATTAATATTCATATACTTCCCATGCCTCTGGCCCTCTTTACATCGCCTGTGCTGCTCCTTGGTGTCGATGGGTTCGCACCACCCGGGACGGGGACGGGGCCGAATGTAAAGCCTTCACCACCATCATCTCTCGGGGCCGGTGAGAAACCACTCATTCCATTTCCAATCATGATACTACGCCGTGCTTCACCACGGTCCCAGCCCTGGCCCGTAACGTCTGCATCCAGCCCGTAGCTGCTAGTCGGACGGCGAGGCGGCCCTGCTGCTGCTCCCGTGAACGAATCCACCCGAGCAAAGTTCCATTGACCAAATTCATCACTCTTACTGAAGATTTCTAGCGTCTGCGTTGGAGGAAAACCGCCGGCTGCCTGTGCGAACAGACTGTTGGAACTGAAACGGTTCGGACTGACAGCATTTGAAAAGTTCTGGCGGACGGGAGACGCCATGTTGCCAAAATTTTGACGGGAAGGCAATACATTGCCAAAGTTCTTGCGGGTGGGGGACAAGACGCCGCCAAAATCTTGATGAGTAGGAGACGACAGATTGCCAAGTCCTTGATGAGTAGGGGATGACAAAGAGATATCCGGAGGCGAAACATGAACCGACGGTATTATATGTGCGGATGAGTTGGATAAAGTTCGGGCTCGCCCCCCAGCAAAACTCGCCATCGGAGGAGGCAGGTTCTGCAACTGCTCTGGGAACTGTTCGTCAAGTACATAGAGTCTGCGCAGTCTAGGCAGACTCCCTGCCAAAACGGAGTTTGAAAGGTAGGAATAGTACCCCTGCGTTGCAAACGGTCCCGCAGATGGTGTACCTGTTATTTCGTATCGAAGTGTCCTCAGGCCTTTGTGCGTCAGTGACTGAATAGGCTCATTGGAAGGAAATTGTTCAGAAACCCTAGATTGTATGGCCAAAGTCTTGAGCGACGGGGCCACTGCCAACACTTCTTGAAGCTTCCAAGGTTGAATGCCTGTGTCTTTAAGGGTCAGGACCTTGAGGGCTTGTGATGTCTCATTACGGGATAGGTAGTCCACGAGCCCGGCTGATGTTAGGCTGGGCGTATCCTTGAGAATCAATTCCTCTAGAGCAGGCAGAGGATGCAGGCTTTCGTCAGCGACCAGAACGTCATCTGAAAGGCTATATGTTTCCGAAACCTTGAGAGCGCGAAGCTGACGCAAGCAGGACAAGACAGCCCTTAGTATCAGCGGGTCAATCTTTAAGCTAGTCAGCTCCAACACTTCAAGACCTGGCCAGATTTGACCCGAGACCAGCGTAGCAAAACTGCGCTCCGCGCCGCTCGCATATGTCGCCTTCTTGATGAAGGGGCACCTTGCTTGGACTTCTAATCGCAACGTCGTATATGCAGGATCGTCGCGAAACATACCCTCGGGGAGATCAACATATTGGAGCATGGGTAGCTTAGCAATCACCTGTGCTAATTCTATATGGCACGACTCTCGAATCATGTATGGAGTTTTGAGAAATTGAACCAGACTGCCGATTTTCGTGGGATTTTCGCGGATGGTTCGGCGCAGTAATTTCAATCGCGCAAGTGCTGGGTCTTCCGGAATTCCATTTTTATTGAATCGGGATTTCTTCTTTCGTTGCTCTGCCAAGAAAGCCTCCATTCTGCAATAGTGAACGGGATCGATTCGAACACTGTGATATCTGCAGGCCACGCACTAGTTAGTTTTGATAGTCCTCAGAACCAAACAGCTCGAATGTAAACGTACAAGACTTGAAGGGCAACTCTTCGCCATTTCTTATTTACCTGTGTACAATGCGACAGGTCTCGCACGTCACAGAGCATACAGCCTTCGTCATTCGCACTTTCTTCACACGATTCATAGCTCTTATCCAGTGCCTGCGGGCAGACAGAAATGAAAATCCGTTGAAGGGCCTCATCGGGCAGTTGGGCCAAAATTCTCGCAGAGAGTTGTGACGGCGGGGAGCGCAAAGAATCAAGTGCGGCGATGGACCGAAACTCAGCTGGCACAGGCGATGACGGGCCGTCCCGCTTCTTGTCTTTCTTCCTGAATGGCAGTCTCATGATGAGCAGCTACTGGGAAAAGAGAAGGTGATATTTGCCCTGGCAAGCCCATAAATGGTTGATGTCCAAGGGAGCTTGTATCGCGCGGTGGTGGTGGTGGTGCGAGCTTTCGCGACTTGGATGAAGAGAGGATTGATATGGTGTTAAATACAACTTTAACGCCGGGACCTATATTCGTCTCGGGAAGCAAGGCTCTTTTGTCCAACGCGAAAACATGTCTGTTCTCTTGTCCAGTCACTGTGTTGTCTGTCTCGGCATCAAACAAACGACTGGACGGGACGAGGTGGCAGCTGGGTGGTATTATGTGGTGCCTTGGGCTGTGGCGGCTGAGGGGCGTTCCTTCCTCGCCAGGAGAGCTCTAGCATCCGTCCCTCGACGCCCAACAGGCACAGGCAGGTTCGTACGGCTGTGGCGCGCCTTCCGTTTGGCTGTAAAGGAGCACTCAAGGTCAAAGGGTGCCGTGTCACATTGACGGAAAGGTAAAAATAAACAAAGGGGAGAGAGTTTCGCCGCCAACAAGACACGACGATATGGCCGTCAGGCGCAAAGTGCGTGCATGTGCCTGTGCTTACGCCTGTGCTTGTGCATGAGTGTGGGTGCATGCTATTGAAGGACGGACGAGAGGATTGACTCTGGGCCAGGGACTCGAGGCAGCGGCAACCATCCATATCCATGTCGTGCCCCGGAATGCCCAGCTCGCGAGCGCTTACGGGTAAGCGACAGATTAATGAAGCGTCATCACCAAGGCATCCATCCATTCATTCAAGGCCACACTTTAAGAAACCACAGCACTACTACGGAGTACATGCATATGTTTTGCCCACCATACGGCTATCAGCCGGGGACCAGAGCCAAGTTTTTTTAGGCCCAGGGGCAAAAGCCTCAATCCCACTTCAATGTGTCCGCGCTGGTACGGGGGGCCTGCAAGTCGAGTGAGCAGGGATCAGATGCAAGCTCCAACAATACGTCGCCATCTGGTGCGCTGCCCACCTCTCTGCCTCGCCTCATCTTTTGTCGATGCATCCACGCATTACACGTCCCCAATTCATATCTCGGCTGTCAACCGGTCCACACTCGAATTCATGGCTAATCCCTTATATTACCGCTTTCTATAATTGCTATGCATGCTCCAAACCGGGAGCGCGCTCTTATGCACCAGTTGTACAGAGGTCGACAGAATAAAATGATCCAAGTCGCAATCCGTCGTCTGCAAACCCGACGCTCTGCCTTGCGGTCCGCAACTCAGCCCAGAGACTCTGTCCCAAAACTGACCGTCCTGCCATGCTAACACCTTGAACCCAAATGCGAAACCGTACCATTCATCAGCCGGCCTCCCGCTGTCATGACTGTCAAAGACGTATTAAAAACCACCCTCGCCAAGGCAGTGTGGACCGTGAACTTCGCTAGCAAATTCGAGGTCCATCCAATTCTTCATTCTCCGTGTATTATAGCCTCCCTAATTTCTCCAATAAAAAGAATAGATAAGTTCACTTTTGTACAAGCAAAGCAGAAAATTGTTCCATAATGGCCATCACGGTGACTGAGTGTAAGTGGCCAAGAATTCAGCTGTTTGTCCTCTGGAGAGCCCCTCGGGGACAACCACGGTCGAATCCATGTCTGAACTGCGTCTTCTCTGCAAATTCACACAAGACTGCGCACGTACTTCCACGTCCATGTTTGACGCACATGGTTCGATGGCACGTTTTATGCCTTGCGAGAGCGAGTAGCGGCACCGTTGGCCTTTGCCCCGGTGGTGGTGGCACCGTTGCTGTGGCCGTTGCTCTTGGCGTTGGCAGCCGCAGCCTGGACGTGCAGAGGGTCGGGAAGAGGAGCCTGGGACATGCGTCGCAAAGACTTGCGCGTGGTGCTTTTACCGCCCTTCTTGTAGGTGGCGAAGTAGAAGGAGATGAAGAGGACCAGATACGAGCTGAGGATGGCAATACCAGAGAACGCGGCAAATTCCTCACCAGCGCACTTGCCGGCATTTGGCAGCCATGGAAAGTAGGTCGACGTGAAGTAGGTGTATGAGGCGAAGTAGACAAAGCCTAGACGTCAAAAAAATTAGCAAACGGTTGCTTCCCGCCCTCATGTGCGCGCTTTACTCACCGAGGTCAATGATGAACTGGATGATCTGGAGACGAGTGACCCACTCCTTCCACCAAATGCGGATGCCACGAGCGCTCTGGAAATAATACCAATACATGACGACGTGAACAGTCAGGTTCAGGGTGATGGGAACCCAAGAGACAGAGGTAGAGCCAATGAGCTGAGTGTAGCAGAGAAGAGCAGTAGCACCGTGGTGGTAGCAGTGGAGGAAGGCTGTAGGCACAAAGAGATTAGCCATGTCGCGGCGAGTGGTTTTCCTTCACAATTGAGAATACACATACTCAACGGCTTCTTTTTCAAGAAGAGGAAGACAGTGTCCAACAACTCAAGATACTTGGTAAGGTAGTTTAGCTGTGGCCTGAGTTAGCAAGAAGTGAAGCACAGTGCCAGTGTAATCTAATATGACATACGTAGTACAAGACAACCATAGGTTGGGTCCAACCGCCATCATAGTGGCAGATGGCATGGAAGACACCATTATGGTAGAGCTCGGGAACCAATTGTTCAATGAAGAGGACCAAGAGAATACCGCTGATGGCAGTGAGGTAGAAGTTGTGGATGAGGAACAGAGCTTTGAGCTTGAAGGGCTCACGGCTGCGCATCAACTCGCGGCCACCAAAGATGATCATGTAGTAAACGACGATGAAGATGGAGGTCGACTTGAGAGTCGACATGGGAGTCTCAAAAGGAACAAACTTGAACTCCTCAGCCGGATATCCAACAACAGCCTCCCAGGCCTTGCTGAAGATGGGCCATAGATGGACGCCGAAAGGGCGGTCGATCGTAGGCAGCGGGAGCTGCTCAAAGAAGCCGGACATGATGCCACTTGGGGGCCGATATGAAGCTAGCAATGGTAGCAAGTTCGATTTCTGCGATGTGGCAAGGCGCAAAGATCGAAGCGTCTTGGGTGTTGATTTAATGCACTCGACTTGGGTCCGATAAGACTGAGGTTTTGGGGGACGCTGGACCACGCTAGCGACGCGACAGAGTCTCCGTTACCAACGTGCGGACGTGGCGGGTCACACAAGAACAGAATCAAGGAGTGACTAGAAGAAACGGAATGCCAACGGTCCTTTGCTAACAAAGAAGCAATCAGTCGAGGAATTAATAAAATACACAAGATGACGGACGTACCGGACAATAAGGAAGGAGGGAGGGAGAGATGGAAGGGGAGGAGAAGAAAATGAGGATGACGAGGAGGCACCGAATCAAAACGGCTGGAAGCCCGCATCAAAACTGGCTCGCGCTCAAAAAGGGGAAATTTCGTTCCCGCTTCCAATTTAGCTCTTGCACATCTAGCAACCCGCATGTGATTCGTCGGGGGTTGGCGTGCCGTCCAATCACCGTCCCCTGTCCGCAATCTTTCGCTTTTTTTGAGATGCATCACGTGAGCCGGGATAAGGAGCTGGGGAAGCTCAGCTTCTTTAAAAGTATTAGGTACCTGGCTAAGCGTCTTGCGCGCTCGGTAATTAATAAGAGCCTAGTTAGTGGCATCGGTATGGAGTACCTGGATAGCCGGTCCTCTGCTAGCGTCTCTCCGGCATCAGCTGTCTTGAAATTGAATTGAATTTTAAATGACTCTGTGGAGGTTCAATGGTAAGGCACGGTTTGTCTGGGGAGGGGGCTGGACCTCGGCGTGAAAAAATTGCCGCCAAGTGCCTTCTACATTGCAACCTTCTGAGTGTGCTGTCTGTCTACCTAGGTACATGAAGCTCGGGCAAGTGGCCGCCGTGTTGTCGTCATGTCCGTGACACTCGAGAGTGAGCAATCTCAGATAAGAGATACAAGACGAAGCCGCTTCTTGTCGTGCAAGGAGTAAGCGGGCGACAGCTATGGGAAAGGATGATGATGACAGGACCTCGAAACGACAACGTTGCGGAGTGCATCAAAGATGATGGTGGCATAACTACCTAGGTAGTACTAGTATTGACTCACCTCCGTATACTTGGTCCTAAAGTCCACAGCATCGGACGCGGGCCGCACTCTATAATGCCATCAGTGCGGCTGTCGGAGGCGCAAACCAATTAGCTCAAAGTCCTGAAGCCGGACTCTCCGTGACTTGTGGCCAGAAAATTGAGGTTGCAAGGCTCGGAGTCAACGTGCAGCCGACTTCAAACTTGATCATAACCCGGGTTGATGGGCAAACCGGCCCAGTCAGGGCCAGCCAAACAAAATGGACAACGAATGGACACGAATGGACCACTCGTAGTCGTGCCAAAGGTGGTTGCTTTGCTTGCGACGAATTGGAAACGGGCAAAATCAAAGCGTTGTCAACGAGATAAGTCGACTCACAGTATCCGTGACAAAAAGCACTGTAAAGATTCCCTTCCAATTGTACATACCCGGCGCTACAGAAACCCAATTCGCACGGCTCCACTACCCTGTCCCGGAGTTATCCAACAAACGGCTTAGTCATTCATATCAGCCCATCTGTTTCCGAACATCTGCAGCCAAAGACCATGGCCCAAAAAAACGCACAACCGCCCTTTGAGTTCCACATCACCACCATCGACAACAACCTCTTCCTTTTCGACGCACCCTCCTCAACACAGGTCCCACGATGCCTGCCGCCTCCATGCTTCGCGTTGCCGCTCGCGGCTCAACCACCTTCTTTCGCGCCGCCGCTCGTCCCGCCGCCCAGCCCCTAATGGTCCGCGCCTTCAGCACTTCAATGCCCCGACGAAGCGAGCACGCCGAGGAGACCTTTGAGGAGTTCACTGCCAGGTGAGCCATTGCCTTGTCTCTATATACGTGGCTGCAGCTACCGAGTTTTATACGGTACCGGCTCGCTTTTTATTGGTGCCTTTTTCTGCGCGGAGCGTACCCGGAATTGCCGATGTCCGGATACTTGCAATGACGCGAAGAAGCCTAGCTGGGCCGGGCCGGATGAGCGCAATATTCTTGCTGCGCTACAAATGCCAACCCCCCCATACCGAAAGACACCCCGAAAGATGCAAAATGTATTCCTAGAAGCGTCAATGGCTAACCCATTATCAATTTCAGATTCGAGAAGGAGTTTGACGGCGTCCAGGATGTTTTTGAGCTCCAGGTACGTTTTTGCTTGCGAGCTTTTAACGCCGCGGCCCCCCGTCCAACCACCACCCCATTCGGGTCATCGCAGTCATATGATTCGTACTAATTGCCATTGGCCAGCGCAACCTGAACAACGCCTTTGCCTACGATCTCGTCCCCTCCACCTCCGTCATTGCCGCCGCCCTCAAGGCCGCCCGGAGGGTCAATGACTTTGCTACTGCTGTCCGCATCTTTGAGGGTACGTCTGATGCTGCAACCAATTGACATGTCGGTGCATCACTCGGCGGCTGGCATTGCGCCCAACTGCTCGCACGGAATACCCATTGCTACCCCTAGGTACACATCATTTTCGTTGGCGCTGACTCGGCATCTCCATTTAGGCGTCAAGGCCAAGGTCGAAAATAAGGGCCAGTACGACCAATATCTCAACGAGCTGAAGAGCCTCCGGGAAGAACTCGGCGTTCCCCTGAAGGAGGACCTGTATCCCGAGGGGAAATAAAATCAATATTAAAATATATCCAGGACTCTAAGAGCAGGGAAGAAGAGTTGTTGTGGGGGGAGGCGATGTTTCTTGTAAAGGAGTAATTTGTTTGCAGCCACGGGGTTGAAACAAATCATTTTGTACATGTTATTCTAGGCGGATCGACAGGGGGACAAAGATAGACCGGGGGGGTCGGTTGTTTTGACAAAAGGAACAAGCCGCAATCCAGTGTGTTATATTATAATCCATATTGGACGGTACCATCTCTGCAGTAGCCGGTTCTTCAACTGGAGCCATCACAATTTGATATGTTAATGTTGTCATCCCACAGCTGCTGCCTATTGAACCCGATGACACCCCAAGGGAGACGGCGCTACCGTTCACAAGCCAAGATGGAATCTGAATTCAATATCGAGGCTCAAGATCTCGGAGATGTACAGTCTGCAGCAGAATATATTTGCCCGTCAAGAAGTATATACTGATATACCGTGGTACATTACGGCATGGAGTGCGATAGCCAGGCCCCTGATGTGGTTAAATACGGTTTGCCTCCCACTGTAGGCTAAGGGCCCTCAACAAATCATATCGACAGGCAGGGCTACAAGTCCAACCCAAACGCCAACCAGGCAAACTGGCATGCAGAAAAAAAAACGTCCTCACTATCCCTCCTATCCAGAGTATTCTGCACCAAACTCGCTGCCTGCCACTCAGTCCCTAAGATGCTGCCACCTCCCATTCGCAGGCTGCCCCAAAAACTGCATACCTGCTAGCACACCCGCGCCCTCGACATTTGTAGGAGCCGGGCTCGTGCCCCTGCTAGTCGAACCGCCCGCGCTGCCGTATGTCGCCCTCCCCGTTCTGGGACTCATCACGCCCATTCTTGGGCTCCGTGGCACGCTGACCTGTCGAGTCTCCCTGCGTCCATTTCTCAATGTCCGCAATTCTTCCTTGGTGTAGTCCAGTTCAAGCTCCCGCTCGCGAAGCTGCGTCCTCAGACCCTGAATCTGATGGAGATATGTCTTAATTGTGGCATCTGCCTGAATCTCGTGAACCTTGCCTAGTGTTTCTGGCGTCTTTTTGGACAGTTCGGCGACTTGTTCACTGAGGTCAGCGTTTTCGCCACGCAGGGCACTAGATGTGGCGGTTGCGTCTTGGTAGAGACTACGGGCGTAGTCGGCGTCCTTGTGGGCGTTTTCGAGACGTTTTTCCAGCATGGCGATTTTCCCGAGGGATTCTTGAAGGAGCGTTTGAGTTTTGGATAGGGGAGACGGTTCGTCTGGGTGGGAAGGGTCAGCAGTTAGGCGGGCAACGGTTGCTTCGAGGTCAGCAATCTTCTTTTGGGCCCTTTCCGCGTCTCGCTGAGCCGTTTCGTTGGCTTGGACAAGGTTGGACTCGGCCTTGCGGGTTTCTCGCTCAAATCTGATGCGGTCTTCTAGGGCCTCTCGTTGTGACGAGTACACCCTTGCGTTTGTCCTCTGATATTCCTTGATGCGGGCCTCGAGTCCGGAGATGAGACTTTTGTACTCTGCGTCTCTGTCTGCTGCCTCTAGTTGACGCTTGAGCTCATTGTTCTGAAGAAGTTAGCAAAGGAATTGTTCATTTCGTTAAAGCGTTAAGGCCCAAACGAGGTACGTTGGGAGGCCAAAAACATTTAACCAAATCAGGTACCTGGCTATCACGACGTATATTATAATATATTAGTATAGAGCGCGATGGCCAGGTACCTGATCTAGTGAAAGGCTTTTTGTCTCCCGTTGTAGATGTATGGATGAGCAGGAAATGGCTATTGGCCCAAATCCTTGAAAGATACATCGCTGGAGCCTCAACTGCTTTAAAGGGTATACAGTGGGATCTCATACCTTCTCAGCCAAGACTTGTAAGACAGATATTGGCACGCTGATATGAACATGAGAAGCCTTGAGGAGCGTGTTTTCGATGTTTGCAGAGTCTAGTAGTGCCTTTACATCATCGGGTACTGGGGCCTCGTTTGTCTGCACTGTCGACTGCCTGTGTGGCAAAATACGCATTCGCTTCACATCTTCATCATCAGAGTCATCCTATAAATTGTTAACGAAATTGTTTGTCATTGGATGTGAGGGGTTTAGCTTACAAGTTTGCGCTTCCGAGCATTCTCAAGCTCCGGTGTTCCCTCGACCGGCATCTGCGAACGTGACTGGGAGTTGAGATAGATATCCATCACGTCTTCGGGGACAGGTATAGGCTTCCAGGTTATTTCTTCGGTCTGTCCGTTCAAATAGTCGAGGAATAAGCTGGCAATCTCGTGCGGCTCTGAGTATCCACGGTCGGGGTCGCTCACAAGGTGTCTGGACCGCACTATCCCAGACATGAGGGCATTCTTCCTTTCCAAGGGTGTCAAATCATCGGAGATGTAGAGGTCGATGTGCTCAATAGAGTGTGTGGTGACCAATATCAACACCATTGGTGACCGCGCTTCTGGTATCTCTGGCTCCAGCTTCTTCTGAATTTCCGAGCCACCGAAGGAGTGATCATATCCAATCACAATGTCAAAGTCATCTTCCTCAACATTCTTTCCTGGAAGAATAAGAGTAACCCTGGCTATAGATGTAAACTCACTTCTAGATTTACCAATCTCTTCACAGACGCAGTTTATCTGTAGTGTCTCAGTTAGGCGGTAGAGGAGCCTGAGTAGATCAGTAGACCTGGCTACAATTAGAACTTCAGTATCCTGGGTAAGCCCTTGCAGGAGTTCATATATAAAATTGAACTTGGGGTTCGCATCGTAGCAATATTTAATGAGCTGGTCAGAGGGTAAATCTTCAAGGGTGCTACCCACTGCATCCGGGGGATAGTCGCAGATATTGTGCAGCCGACTAAATACTTGGTCAATTTTCTGGACGAGAGTTTCGTCTGGCTCCACATAGTCCTCGCTATTGAATATGGCGCCAAACTGTGTTACCTCCCGCTTTGATTCGAGCAAGGTGTCATCATACAGTGGCCTCAGACTGGCCTGGAAAGGCAGTGTGATTATATGCCTGAGTGTGATGGGTTCCTGAGATTCATCACCAGAATCATCGCTTGACTCCTGGTCTTGTTGAGGCTGTCCCATTGGGACAGACACGCCAGAGCTTCTCGTGGCGTTTGAGGAAAGGTTGTCGTGAGTAAGTAGTGACGGCATTAGAGGTAGAGGAGCAGCGAGATCGGGCTGTTTTGAGATGTCTGCTGGTGAGACTGTGGACAACTCAGGCTGAGGATTATGTAGCGCGTCCAGCATCATTGTGCTAGAGGCAGGTAAATCTGGATGTGCAAAGATTGCGTCAACGATACTCTTCATTGAGACCACGGCAGAAATCCGGGAAACCAAGGGGGTGTCTAATGCTAGTTGCTCACTTTGAGGGCCTGCAGATTCATGTTCAGCAGACGAAGGCTGCTGGTCGTGGTCCTGGATACTTGGATTGGTAGCTGGGATCTCGGCAGGCGTAGAGTGTTCAGCAGAATGTTCTTCTAGAGGATGTGATGGGCCTTCAGCCATGACCTTATCCAAGTTGAGGATTTGGCTCAGCTCATCAACAGCTGATGGTTGTGGCGTCGGGTTCGCGGAGCTATGATTTTCCATTGCGATGGCGAAAGGAGGCTCGGGCGAAGATTGTGAATCAATTTTCGGAGGAGATAATGTGGGTGATGCGTGGGCTGTGTCGTGGCTGACAGAGAAGGCCCTTACGTGCGAGACGAACGGGTCGATTTGGAGCACCTGGGCGTCCTGGGACTCGCCCTGAGATTGGTCCCGAAATTCTGCAGCAAGATCAGTAGTCAGTGGGTGGGTGCTGGCCGAGTTTTGTTTGGTGTCTGACGGAGTCTCGACAACCACACTTTTATGGGGAGATTCTTGGCTAGAGATCGAACTCGAGGGAAGATTAAGTTCAGCTGCCACCACTTGGGAAAGAAACACGGGACTGATAGTGGGTATAGCAGCAAGATTCTTGTTTCCCTGGGGAGACTGAACAGATTGCGGTTTTGTTGCAGGTGCCCTTGGGTCGAAGTCTTGGCTTGCAACAAGGGACTGCGCTTCCTCCTGGGCAGGCTGATGAGACGGGATGTTGGAGTTGGATTGATCCCGGTCCCTCTTTTCCTCGTCCCTGTAATTGGAACTATCCCAGTGAGACGAAGTAGGCGGTTCCTCGTTGTGGCCAGCGCGCTGAGAAGAAGCCTGAGCCCAACTATAAATTTGAGGCTCGTGCTCAGATATTCCACCCTGTGAAGCTTGTAAGGATGGTGCAAGGCTAGTCACTTGCTTATCCTGCGTCCAGGTCTGTCTAGAAGGCTCTTGCGAATCAGGAATAGTTTGTCGGGAAAGCTGAGAGGCAAAGAGACTCCGCTCGTCTTGTTCTTCCAACTCAGCAATTGGCTGCGACGACTGGCTGCTGCTCTGGGTATTGTGTTGGCTAGCGTATTCTGACGTGTCAAAGTCCGACTTGATCTCGAGCTCAACAACAAGCTGTTGAGAGCGCGGAGCGTTCAAGCTTTGTTGCGTAAGACGGTCGAGGCCGTCAGGGTCGTCAAGGCTATCAGGAGATGATATAGATACAATAGATGGCACGGGTTCCTCTGATGGCGTGGCACTATGTGCGACTTTGGCAACCTTGGCAGGGCGATGTGTGTCGACGCCGTCGGAAGGAGACCGTCGTCGACGAGATGCGCCAGACGGGCCAGCTGTCTGGGGTCTCTGGAGATGTCGCCAGTTGGACGGTCGAGGCGGCTGGCTGTCCTGGCTATCTTGGGTCCGAACCTCAGTCGCTTCAGTGACGCGTGACCGCTTTCTCTGCTCCCACTCGTTTCGGGCTGCGTCTGTAACTTCTCGGCTCTAAAGTGCCAGACAGATGGTTAGCGCTGTTCAAGGGAGCTTCTCGGTAGGACAACGGGAATATACCCAGGTAGGGGAGTATGCTTCTCCTGTCTTCTGATTGTCGTCCCAGTCGACCAAATACTCTACACGGCCCTTTACAAGTCGCTCGTCGAGGATGTTCCTGATTGTATACCAGTCGTTGTCGTCCGAGGTGTCGACGGTGCGCCGCGACTTCGATTTGCGAGGTTGAGGACGTCGTGGTCTGGGCATTGACCTGAGTGTAAGCAGCCGTGCGGGCAGAATATGAGTTGCCCGACGGGCGGATATCCAACTTCCACGGCAAAGGAAACCGCACAGAGGTTCGCACAGAGACCAGGCGGCCGGCGGTTTGGTCTGGCGCAACGTGTGGATGCAGGGTCGATGTAAGTCGATCCGCGCAGCCCAAAGGCGAGGCTGAAGATGGAACTATCGGTAGCTCGACTGCACCCCACGCTTGAAGACGGCTGTGTTGCCAGGGTTCACGCTGATCACGTGCTGGGCGAGCTGGTGCTTTCATTCGGCTTGTGTTTTCGACAACGGCAAATATTGGTATCCAGAAGCGAGTGATGATTTGAGAGTCTGTGATGAATCCTTTTCAACCGATGCTCGATTTCAAAGGTGGTTGAGGTGCATAGAGTGTGTTGTGCGTACAATGACGGAACACTGAATACAAGCACCAGCTCTTTCTTTGTCCTCTGGATCTGAACTTGCCTCACACACAGCAGCGACGGCAGCGCTCTGAACAATCAAAGCAATACAGCCAGGTTGATTGTTTTTGTTACTCAGCGCCTATTTTAAGGATCGAATAATTAATATCGGTTTCTCATACAGCACCATTGTGAAAACCGCTGCCGACCAACCCTCGTGCAGGGTAACTCAGCATTCGCGGGCTGCACCAACAAATGCAAACCTCCTGCAAACCCATTCCAAACCAAACAGGACGACTATATACAAGAATGACATGCCCCGATTTCACTTCAACATAGACATCCATCAAAGTTGATCATATGTCCAGTGCACCATCTCAACAACTGGGGAAATCCCATCGATCCAGGTCTAGTTCCACCCACGAGACCACCAACTTTCAGCCCCAGCTCAACACTCAAACTACACATCGAACGCACATTCGCCTCCAATACTCTTGAAACCACGTTGTCTGCCAAACCCGCACTGTGATGGACGTGGCACCCTCATTCATACATCGATACACAGTCCAATAAGCCCAACAGCAGGTTGCATGCATCAGCGACCGCGACTGTTCGAAGGCAGTTAAACTAGGCACAGGCCGTGAGCGACCAGCCCTCAGCAATCTTACAATGTCGGCCACATTCTCAATACAGCCTATTGGAAGGTTCACCGGGCAAAGCCACCCCGTGAAAAGGCCAAAGGTATTTTTCATTGTCACGTCCATCTGTGCCCGTCCGCCTAGCCCGGCTAACTCATCCAGGAATTTGCCTGCTTCTCATACGATGAGAACCATGAGTTTCGCCTCGATGACTCTTCGATGAAGTATTACTACACCCCTCAACTAGGAGCAGACCTGTCCAAGGGCTTCGAAAAATTCCAGAAACTAGATGACTCCGGAGACGAACATCTGGACAGCTTGCTAAAAACCATCTTGGCGCACGAAAGGGAGACCGGGAAGAAGATTGATGCGAATGTAGTTACGTGGCGGGGGATGATGACCAAGGTGCGTTTCTTTCCATATTCCGTTTTGTCCGTGTCTCCATGATAATGACGAGGCAGATTATGGCGGCGCTGTTTGAGCAACAAGATGGGTGTGTATCATGCTGTGCCATGTCTGAAAGCCAACTAACAGGCGTAGCTTTGAGATGAATGCCACTCTGTACCAGAATTGCATGTGCGTATCCCACCCTCAAGACCTAGGCACAGCAGCTCACAAAAATTAGCTTCATCGAAGAAAATAACGAATATAAACGCCAGTCGCGAGCCAAGGAAAACCATCGCGGCCCCCGACGCGGCCCGCCTTTAGAAGTCATGCAATATTGGGGTATCTCTCTCCCCCCTTTTCGTTTTCTCATCCTCCTCACGCAAGACTACAAAAACTCACCACCCCCCTCCCCTCCAGGCTATAAGTTTGAAACCCTTTCCACGCTGCCAAAAATATGGGCCGAAACATCAAGAGAATACATTGAAAATCGCGAGAATCAAATCGTCAACAACAAGGAACAATATTGCTCCGTCGTACGCACCGGCATCGGAAAGACCGTCCTCTGTCTAGGCGGCGAAGTAGATGCGAGCATGTTCTCCCCTCCCTGAACACATGTTCCCTCCCAAAAGAACACTACTCTAACGAGAAAACCAGTATGGGACTCCAAACCCCAACCCGGCCAGCCGATAAACTGGGTCGAACTCAAAACCACAGCTGAGATACGCTCCGACCACGACATGGACAATTTCCATCGCAAGCTCATGAAGTTTTGGATCCAGTCGTTCCTGCTGGGCGTCCCCAAGATAATCGTGGGTTTCCGCACAAGAGACGGCATCCTAATGGACGTCAAGGATATCGAGACGCACAACATTCCGCAAACGGTAAATTCGAGGCAAGGCGCGCGGTGGAATGCAGACATGTGTGTGAATTTTGCGGGCGAGTTCCTCGAATGTAAGCCCATGTCTTGCTCGTCTCTTCGGATGGTTCCCGCCCCCCAATCTCTTCCTCATCTTGTTAATCTTGTTTTATCCTGTCCTCTTCGAACCTTGAACTGTCACTGTTTCCCACACGGCAAAATCATCATCCATTGCAGTCATGAAAACTCGCTGACAGCCCCGGAATCGAACCACAGTTCTTCAAAGCACAATCAACGACGAGGGCGTCTGGCGCATACGCCGCCACCCGGCCTCCCCCACAATCGAAGTCTTCAAAGTCGAAGAAACAGGCCACGGCAACATTCTCTCTGACGAATTCAAAAACTGGCGAATCAAGCTATCCCTCGGCCCGAGCACAGAACCCTAGCCCTTGTGCGCCTCGATCTAGCAAGATGACTGTAGTCGTTGCCAATATCTACCCGCCGTCTTGTCGAAAACAAACTCCCATATGTACAGTTGCGTCACACGATGTACAGGTACCTGAAAACGATTGAATGCGTTGAATGAATACCTAGGTACTCGTCTTGGTGTGCCCAAGATTTGAATCAGAATATAAAAACATGACAAACACATCACAAGATGAATCATGGAATGAGGCAGAAATTGTGTGCAATCGATTTATTCACACATTCTACCTAGATCTACCTACAAATCCAAAGCACAAATTCCCAAATCCCCAACGCCATGCTCCGGTGGAATCCCATAAAACAGCAAGCAATATATCCACATTACCACCAAACGGCAGCCATAGAACCTGCCATTTGTACATGGAACGTTGTCCATGCATGTTTGCATCCCGCATGTTTGTCCATGTCTAAAATGCATGCTGCAACCATTTTATGTTTTCCGAGCCGGGCTATGCAAAGTCGATGCAGTCGCGCTACTCAAATCATACACTCAAGGGTATTCATGCCAAAATGAAAGGGAAATAAGAAAAAGTGGAAAAGAAGCAAGCGGGCTGACAAACCAAAAAAAAAGTGCGAAACATCTTCATGCCCTGTATGAACAGGCGCATTTCATCCTCCATTGTCATGAATTAGTACGCCAGGCTGAATCTCAGCTGGCAAATATCGTTTATACAGCTGGCCAGCGAATGCGGAGGTTATCAGCCCATCGTTGATATAGAACATCAGACAACTGTTTGCAGTGTTCCATGCCACTTAGTGCATCACGACCGGGATACTTTTCTTCTAGGAGGGACGACTTCTCCCTCTCAAGTTCCTTCTCTGTCAGACTGGTTCGAGGAGACTCGGCTTGGCGTCGACGGTGACTCTTAAGATGGGGATTGTTGGAACTGAGGATCAGCTTGGTAGGACTAGCTAGGGAAGGGGCAGAGCTCTTGACAATGACCGTTCCTAAGGGAGTTCCGTCGTCTGGAGCCTTTTGAATCGGCTGCCGTAGAAACGAGGAATTGAGCTTGTTGTCTTGTGACATGGATGCAACGAGATTGCTCATGAGATGATATGCCCCCTCTGGGTCTACAGCATCCAGGGACGCAAAAGCGTCCGACAGTTTAGCAAGAGCCTCTCTCTTTTGCATAGCAGATGTCTGAGCATGTAATTCAGCCAGAGTGGGTTCTACGGCCTTGTTGTACAGGCGTCTGCCGAGGATGGCTTCCTTGCCGTAAGGCTCGACAGGCGACGCAATACGGGGGGGAAGGTTCTCGTCGCAGAAAACATCATCGGGTGAGGATGGTCTTCCTATTTGGCCATTGGTTGAGCTGTCTGATGGAACACGCCGAAACAAACGCATAGTCGAACCCGAGTTTCCAAAAGACATGTCGGGCTGCAATGGCTTCTTGGGTGCGACTGTGGGACGCGGCGATCCGCTGGATCGGATGGAGTTGGAATGGGCAAGTGATGGAGTGCGGCGAACGGTACACTTGCGCATCGTGCCAGTTGCCGGTGATGATGGACCAAGTGGCCCCTCGGCAATGTCGAGCTTGCGCAAACCTTCTTCACTGGCCAGCATCGACGAAGGCTTGCGATGTCTGATGGTTGGCCGCTTGGGCGGTGCGGGGGCAACCGACTTGACTGTATCAAACACCCACTCTTGGTCTTCATCCTTTGGTGATATTGTTTGCAAGGTCTCTTGGTAGTAAATGGGATGCTTCTGACGATTCTGATTGGCCTCCCACATTTGGCGGCGGGCAATGAGTTCCTGCAGAGCTTCAACTTTCCCAGCAGAACGAAGGAAACGGTGCTTCAATAAATCTCTTGCTGACGGCCGGCGCTCATAGTCCTTGGTGAGGCACTGGGCTACAAAGTCTTTAAAGTCTCGGCTAAAGTCGCCCTCGAGTCGTGGAGGTGCATTCTTGGGAATGTGGAAAAGAACCTTCATGGGATGAATGTGACACAGCGGTGGCTCTCCGTTGGCCATCTCCATGGCGGTAATGCCCAGAGACCAAATGTCTGCCTTGAAGCTGTACCCGTCTTGCTGAATAACTTCTGGAGCCATCCAAAAGGGGGTACCGACAAAGGTGTTTCGCTGTGACTTGATGTTGGTCAATTGAGCGGCAACTCCAAAGTCTGCCAGCTTGACCTTGCCCGTTTCAGAGAGTAGCACATTGGCAGCTTTGATGTCTCGGTGAATCTTGCCCTCGGTGTGAAGATACTGAATGCCTAAAAGCAGCTCACGGCAAATAATGGCTATGTGTGTCTCGTCAAAGTTGGCAGGTTTCAACTGTTGAAGGCTTGATTAGTTGATTCAAACGACGCGCATGGGACACCGACAAGTACTGTCAAACGCACCAGGTCTAGACAGGAACCACCCCCTAAGTACTCCATGACAATCCAAAGTTTATGTCCCCGAAGGAACGAGCCTCTATATTGTGTCACATACGGACTGGAGCACGTGCTCAAGACGGCTATTTCCGCCTGGATATCTTGGATGTCATCATCGTTGGACTCGAGATCGATCTATGTATAGACGCACAATGTTAGCAATGGGACATGGCATGAGCTGTTTGCTTGTGCTTGCTCATCGTAGGGCTGGACGGGTACGTACGTGTTTGATGGCCACGGTCTCGCCTGTTGCCTTCTCGATGCCTTTATAGACGACACCGAAGCTTCCACCTATTTGGAGGTGCGCATTAGCTTTGATTGTAAAACATGGCGGCTGTTTGACACGGCGACCAGGTAGCCTGCTGGGAACGTTTGAACTCACGGCCAAGCTCCTCCAAGACCTGATAGTGCTCTGCAACACCCTCATCGGCCATTTTGTCTTGACGTCATGCAATGTGCCGCTTCTCGAAATGGGCTGGAGCACGAGAAGGCCGATGCTGTGCCTGTAGACGAACCGTGGCGATCCGAATCGGCAATGCCTTGGAGCAGGAATCTCAGGCAACAGACACGAGGGCTGCGCGAGGGCGACAGATGCGGTAAATGTAAAGATATCGATGCCGTGACGGGGGAGAGGAGAATAAAGGGATGCGAGCCGGGTTGCGCGGCCAGATAATACTACCTGTAATCGGCCGGAATGGCTACCCAGGCGCAGACTTCGGAGCACCTGGCTGGCAGTTTGAGCCAGGGCGATGCCCGGTTTGCTTTAATGAGGTCGTTCGTTGTCTGGGACAGCGGCAGGGCTGGGCGGAGAGCTTGGACCTCTGCTTTGTTTACAAATCTCCTTTTTTGGATAGCTGCGACTGGGGTGGTTTGCCGGGGGTGGTTTTGGCGGCGGGGTGTCAGCTCGTCACGACGGGCAGGATAATAGAGAAAGTCGTCGAGAAGGCTAATAGTCGAGGGCTCCCTCCGTCTTTTGTCGCATCGTGACAAGGCCTGCAATGGTGTTGACAATTGCTATGGCCCAACGCGCAAAAGCCTCGTGTGGGCGCATCTGGATTGTGCGTTGGAACGAAGCCAGCTTTAGAGCGTACTACAGGACGGCCGTCGCCCCAGCGGCCACCACGTCAAGTGGCGTCCCGGCAGGCTAGTATGAGATGGTTGATGTTGCATCACACTCAGCTCATGGGCAATAATAAGTAATACTATAATGCCCCGTGGAACATACGGGGTGTGTGTGAATCTGCCCGAAGTTTGCGGGTAGTCGAGGTACTGACGACCGGTCATTGGCTGTCGTCGGCCTCCACGGGCCCAGTTCCCGATTTAGTGAGTGCAGAGTGCCGGGGCTCTGGGGCCTTAGCGCCTTGCTGCGTGGGAGGTGCATGTGCATCAATTGATGTCTGGTGGCTTAGTGGCGGCCTAGAGGCCCCTAGAGGCCCCTAGAGGCCAGTTGAGGGCCTGGTTGCTTTCGACCAGACCCCAGTGCCCCATTGAGGCGTGCGATATGCGTTGCCCCGGTTACTGCTGCCCCTCTGTTGTTCGAATGGCCTGCCGGGGCTTGACGTCTTGTGCAAGCTGTCGGGCGCCGCTGTTGCTGCCGCCGTTGCCCTGCTCCAAGCAAATAGACCAGTCGCTTGTCAAGCAACTGACCGACTGTTCTGGTCAAGTGACCGGCAGCGAGACCATACACAGCTGGTAGACACATAGTTTCATATCAAGAGCCATTTCTCATTGTTCAACGTCTTTTGCAAAGTTAGATTGGCCACTAGCCCCCTAGCTTGGCATCTTCTTACCGGCTGTTTCCTGGTCCTTTCTCTCCCTGTTTTGTTCCTTCTTGACTTTGTCGTATCAAGTGACGACCAGGACGACTATGCAGGGCGAAGGAGGAAACCATTCTCCTCGGCCCACCTGAACGACTTGTTGCTGCAACAAATATCACCTGCTCAGCATCCACGGACCAACGCAGCACGAAATCTGCATGCAACACGGCGGCATCCCCGTCACCAATCGACGACAAACATTGCCTCGCATAGACCATTATCTGCCAACGTTGACGTGAAGTCCTCGGCTGCACGGCTTCGTTCCTTCCTCAACTTAGTTCCACGATGGTGCCTGCACCACAGGCGCTCCCAGCGAGGTTTCCGTGCTGGTGCAGAGCTGTTTATTCATGGGGTGGAGAGGTCTGTATAGCACCTTTGCTCTATTCTTCATCTGCCAACTGTGCGGGTGTTTGCGGATTGCCTCGAGGGCCTAGAATTGCTAACATGCCGATAGTCGAAACGGGACTTAGGCTTCATTGAGGGAGATCTGATCGAGTGTCTAAACGCCGGTGATGGATCGTGGTGGGTTGGTCGTCTGTACCGAGATCGAAGGACGGTTGGGTCCTTTCCTTCCAACTTTGTCGAAGTCCTCCCTGAGGAATTTCGTCCCATGACGAGATCAGTCAGCCCCCTGCCAGGAAGCAATACGCCCAGCCCCAAAAACACACCTGCCAAGTCAAAGACTTTCCGCAAGCCGTTTGAAGCATACGCAAAGGCTCCCCATTATACTACCGCTAAACAACCAACATCCTACCGCGATCCTTCCAAGGTCAACCCAGCTGCCACCCCAACCCCTGTCTCTACGCGGCTTGCAGCTGGAGCCCCTGCTCCCAAAGTTCAGCACCAACGAGCCAAAGACAAGTCTGGCGGCTCTTTTAGCAGATCAGTCCATGATACCATTGAAAGGGTACCATCGCCGCCTACCGTTCACGGATATGGCTCTCGAGCGCCATCACCAGCGCCATCACCAGCGCCATCACAAACCTACCGAGATCGTGGAAGCACACCTGACAGAGATTCTGCTCCTCCTCCGGCACCACCACCTCATCGGCATGTCGGCGGCGGGGGCCGACCAGTTGACATGTCACGGCATACGTCAAATGCTTCCTTCCACCCATATTCTCCTGCCGCCATGACAAGACATGAGTCGAATGCGTCGTACCACCACCCGCCACAGACCCCGAGACACGCCTCATCTGCGCCTCATAATGAGATGCATCAGCGGGAGTTAAATGGAGACTATACCCCTCAAGGTCGATCGCCACGCCAGTACTCCCCAGATGAGCTTCACATGACACCATCGCCACTCAGGGAAGCGATGGACAGTGTCATGGAACAGCTAGACCAGCTGGATGGGCTTGGAAGCAGTTGGGATGGTGAGCAGGTCCAGCAAGCAGAAGTGGTGGAGCAGCCGCTTGACCCCTGGGCACCAGAATCCTTTGATGCAATTGCACACAAATCGAGGCGAAAGGGTTCAGTGACGACAAGACCTCTTACATCCACGGGAATAGCTCACCATGATGAAGGCTATGAAACCTGGAGCGGTGGATCCTCCCAAGAAACATCATTTCAAAACGGTAGTCGAGGTCAGAAGCACGAACTGCCTGAGTTAAGCAACTACGTGGAGCGCATGGAGAAACAATTCCAGACCATGCATCACCATAGCAAGAGTGTAGGTATGGCAGCAGACATAGATCTTGACGCTGAAGAAGATATACCTCCACCACCACCACCCAAAGGCCAGCCTTATCAAAGACCTAGATCCTCGGCTGGTGAGCCTGCTGGCCGTCCACGGCAACTGAGAACTCAAAAATCTGCGTATGAAATAGGACGCGGAAAAGGCGCCGCGAGTGGGAGTGTAGGAAGAACGCTTACGACCAGAACCAACACCACCAACGCCTCAACAGGCAACCAAAGCCACACTAGCTCATCCACCCAAAGTAGTGGAAGGACTCTCTGGAGTGGTGTTTCGGCCGGTGGTATCAGTTCCACCAGTGCTGGTAGTATGGCTCGTCAGCATATGCGCACACAGAGTGCTATGGACGCCCGTGAAGCAGAGCTGGATCGTCCCGATTCCCCCTTTACTGGTGTCACTTATCACAGCAGCCATGCCAGCCATGTCGCCGCAAATGGTCGACCAAGGGCTCAGACCGGCTTGGAAGATGACCTGACAGCAGGTATAGGAGGGCTGGTTCAACCCAAGGCGCCTAAGCGAAACATATTCAAGAAAATCTTTGACTCTGCCAAGACTGGCGTTGCGAGCAACAGAGGCAGCCTTGCAGCAGGCTCGATAGCTGGAAGCAATTCAGTTCGGGCATCGCCATTCAACCGACCACGGCCTTCTGTGGCGCCATCTGCCATGAGCTCAAGAATGACTGGTATCAGCGGCCCAGACTACGGGAGCAATGCAGCCCGAGACATGGGCCTTGCTGGTGGTAGCAGCGTGGACTGGGTCCAGGTTCGTCGTGACGTGAACAGGTCAAATTCCTTAAGCAAAGCAGAGCGAAACGAGCGTCAAGATCGTTGCCAGATGATGGAACATCCTGTTTTAAATCCAGTGGATGAAATGTACGAGGACATTGAGGGCGACGAGGCAGCAGATGGAATGCCAGTGAGAGAGGCAATAAACTATCAATCGATAAATCTGAGCCAGGTGGACAAGAACTCACGGTTTATTGCGGATTTGCCACCCATGACAACCGCTATTCAACTAGCAACAACTTATGTGTGTCGACCTTACAGGAGCGATGTGCAACGTCTGCGAGCCATTTTTACATGGGTATCTGAAAAGATCTGCTGGGAGGAAGACTTTGAGGGCGATATTGACACGCGTCGCGTCATCCAGGCCAAGAGGGCATGTGCCGAAGAATACGCAGTTCTCGTCATGGAGATGTGTGCTGCTGTTGGACTGGAGTGTGAGATTGTCCGGGGCTATCTTAAGAGCCCAGGTGACGTAGCCGATCTCAACATGATGCCGCGATCAAATCACTGGTGGAATGCCGTCATTGTTGACAATGAGTGGCGCATCATCGACTGCTGTTTGGCGAGCCCTTCAAATCCCAAGCGTGGCCTATACTCTAGTGCTAATGGAGCGACGGCTGACTCTTGGTGGTTCCTCGCGCGACCGACAGAAGTGTGCTGGACACATGTTCCAGAGCATCATGATCAGCAGCACATCGTGCCCCCTGTGGCCCACGAGATATTGCTCAACCTTCCTTGCACGTGTCCGTCATTTTTCCGCAACGAGATTGAAATGGTTGACTACAACACGGCCGTGACGAGGATCGAAGATCTTGAAATGGTTCATATCAAGTTCAATGTGCCAGCCGACATTGAGGTGGCTGCGGAGGTGGAAGCTCGAGCATATACTCGGGACGCAGATGGCGACGTGTTTGAAAGCGGTGATGTTTTAAAGAAGAGAGCGCTGGCGCAGGCAGAGTGGTATGATGGGGTGAAGCGATACACGGTCAAGGCCCTTCTTCCAGGGGATGAGGGTCAAGGTACACTGAAAATCTATGCTGGTAAGCGTGGATTGATGCACAGCATCAAAGACATCCCTCATCCGTTAGCATTCGCACTTCCCATTGTGCACACTGGAGAGAATCCGCCATACGACT